AAGAAGCGCAGAAGGAGGAGGGCAGCAAAGCAACAGTGCATGGGAGTAGCAGAGCAGGAGGGCAGGGGGTCAAAACAGACTGGCAGAGACTCTCCAAGAAAGAAAGAGAGCCTCGTGCGCCCTCACAGCCGAGAGAAAACGAAGCAATGCGGCAAAACCGGCGAATCTAAGCGTGAGGATGACGCGAGAGATGCGGGAGCTTGTACGAGTGGCACGCGGAGTCACGCGGAGCAACGGAGAGGCGTTGCACACAACGACTCGAGTGAGTTTCTTATGATAATAGCATAAAGTCCCAGATTCCTGAGAGTCGGTGGGCGAAAGGGGGGTCAGCGCGTACAGAGCAGCACGATGAGCGCTGTGGCAGTAAGGGCAATCGCAGCAAGCGAGCGAGTCATGGCGACGACGGAAGGGCGCGCGACACGGAAGCAGCTTCTCTTGAATAATCGAGTCGCCTCGACGACTACGAGATAGCGTAGAGGAGTCGTACTCGGAGTCGCGTTAAGTTGGGGCCAGTCGCACGAAAGTCGAGATCTCGTGCTAGGGAAAAATAAATATGGCGAAGTGGGGAACGGCGGGAAGTCGGCGAGGGGACCCAAGGATCACTAAGGAAAAGAGAAGGTGGAGTGTCCAAGAATGAGTCGAGCTTATTTCTACTAGGTCGGAGGGAGTGGTTCTTGTTTGCTCGGGTCGGGTCGTTTTTCCGTCCCAGCGGCCAAAAAGGTTCCGCTTTGGTCGGCTCGGCTCCTTTCCATCTTCACTGCCTTTCGCCGAGTCCCCTGCGTCGACTCGGACCTTCCAAAACTGGAGCAGGTGATGTGATGGCAGCATTCCTTCCACTCCCCTCTCCCGCCTCCTCCCCATCCAGAGTTCCCCGCGCTCCCCACTCTCCACGCTTCAACAGTACATTTCCGCCTCCTCCTCATCCCCCACCCCGCATCTTTTCCCGCCAGCCACCCTTTTGGCTCACGCATGCGGTGATGTGAGGAAAGATCGTAGAACGAGGTGGTTGCACCTGCATGCCGCCAACGACGTTTTGGTGGCCTCGCCACTGCCATGCCACAACTGTGTACTGTGCTGTTGCCCCATCGCGGAACTGGCTGGCGAGCCCCCCACCCCACCACAACACAACTGTGCGAGCGAGCGGCAAAACCCTGCACTGAAAATCGGACGGCTAGATAAACAGATACCGTATTGTTGAGATGAGAATCGAACGGCAAAGTGATGATAAGCAGTAGCTCTGAAAGAAAGACGACTCATCATCGGAAGCGTGGCGAACGGAGAGCGACGTAGGCACTGTCAGAATATTATCTTATGTTCTAGCCTGTAGTGGGGTGCTCTATAGCGAGTACAACCCTTCTAGGGTTTGCTATTTGTATCCTCATTCTTGCTAGTTCAACCCTCTTTCTTTCTTCTAATTTTGTCATGCTATCAGAGCAAGTCCATCCCCGTGGATCGATCCTGTGGGTGGGTTACCACCTCGCTTCCGCTGCTACTTTTTTTTTCCTCCCGCCGTGCGCCCCGAGGCGCGCGGCGGTTTTCTGCCCGCCGTGCGCCCCGTGGCGCGCGGCGGTTTTCTGCCCGCCGTGCGCCCCGAGGCGCGCGGCGGTTTTCTGCCCGCCGTGCGCCCCGTGGCGCGCGGCGGTTTTCTGCCCGCCGTGCGCCCCGAGGCGTGCGGCGGTTCTCTGCCCGCTGTGCGCCCCGAGGCGCGCGGCGGGCTTCTGCCGCGGCATTCGCCGCGTCCCGCTCTGGAGGCGTCGCGACGGGCGACGGGGACCCGTCGCGGCCCCGCCGCCCCACTCTCGCGGCCCCGCAACCTTCGGTCGCGGCCCCGCCACCGAACCACGCGCCCCCCCCCCCCCCCCCCCCCCCCCCCTCTCCTCCCCCCCCCCCATTTCCCGTCGCCCGTCGCGGCTCCTTCGGGGGCCGCGAGCTGTGGGGTGGCGGGTATGGGGGTGGTCGGTATGCATTCCTCCCTTTGCTCCTCCTCCTCCTTCGTCTCCCACTGCTGCAGCTGTCGCTGAGGGGGGTGGTTGTGTGGGAGACTGGGGTTAAGGGGGGTGCGTGGGAGTGGAGCTAGCGGTGTAGCAGCGGGTGTGTGTCGGGGGGGTGGGACTGTTTTGGGAAGCTGCATGCAGGTTGCCGTACTGTTGTCCGCAGCACCTGTAGTCCGGGGCGCTGTCCCGGTAGCCCAGTGAGCTAGACTTCTACGCCAGCCGCCTGTGGGTCCGTTGCTCGTCTGCCGCTAATTTAGCCGCGGGGCCTGTTACTCCTGTAGTCTGGGCGCTGTCCGGTAGCCGCTGTGCCAGTCTGCCTTCTGTTGCCCGTGTGTCTGCAGCTTCAGCCGTCGCCTCCTATCTCCTCTCCCCTCACACTCCCTCCTCCTCCTCACTTGCCCGTTGTGACTACCACTAGCTTTGCTCATAACTGTGAACTCTAAACATGTATATTTTCAAAAGCTGTAACGCTTTTTAAAATTATGTATTTTGAAAGCGAAGCTGCCTGTAATGTAGGATTTGGCAGCGTCGAGCCGCGCTAGACGCCCGTTTTGGAGTACAAAACGTGGGCTGGAGGTCATTTCCCTCCACCCACGTCTCTCATTTTCAGACGGTTTAGCCGATCTTCCCACCCACCCCCCCCTCGAAAGCAGGATAGCGTTGACAACATAGAGGCATATTATTGTAATGACGCTGCTTGGATTTCAATTGTACTAAACCCATTTGAAATGAGACGATGCCAATTGCTACATGCAAGAAAGCAAGCTTTCTAAATTATTTCTTCTTGAACTAGTGCTCAGAATGTGTGGTGACATTGTGATCCACCCTGAGCTTGTATTGCTTTGCCTGCTCTGCTGATTACACCCCACTTTGGCTATGGGGGTGTGTCAGAATATTATCTTATGTTCTAGCCTGTAGTGGGGTGCTCTATAGCGAGTACAACCCTTCTAGGGTTTGCTATTTGTATCCTCATTCTTGCTAGTTCAACCCTCTTTCTTTCTTCTAATTTTGTCAGGCACTCCACCGACAGAAAGGTCCAGAAGTCAGATAGCCTATCAGAGAAGCTCCTATGGTCGGTGCGTTACATGCCTCAGTCTGTTTGTGGCAGCTCCGTTACCAACCTTGTGAGTGACGGTGTACACTTCCTGATTTCCTTTCATCGTACCCTTCACAGCACTCCACGCCCTTAGACCAAGCCCACTCCCCTGTGTCTCTTCAGGCAATCACAAAAGAAACATAAAAGAAATACCACCTTTGCGCTTTTGTGCGTTACTTGAAGTTTGGCATGATCCAGGAACTTCGTGTGAGCATGTGGTACTCCTAAAAAAAAAGTTCTGGTAATTACCATGAATTCCATCCTGAAACTCCAATGCCATCTCATACAAACGTCATTCCAGAGGTGGAACATCTATGACTGCATGCGAACATCGTTCGTACTCCATGGCATGGCGCAAAGATTGAGAAAGCTTGCTTTCTGTTCTTGCAAAGGCAACGGGCTTCATTACAACGGGCTTCATTACAATTGCAGTAATACAACATTCTCGTCCAACTATGGATGGATTATACAGATATACAACTAGGGTGGGTGGGTGGGGAGTGGAACTGCAAAGTTCCGAAATGAAGTCGTGGGTGGAGGCCAAATGGCCTCCAACTCTCGTTATGTACTCGGCGAATTGTAATTCGCCGTTGCTTTGCTTCGTGACAGTCAGCTGCGCTTCCAAAATACGCATTTTTAGAAAGTGTTACACACTTTCGAAAAATCTCATATTGAGAATGCTTGCTTTCTGTTCTTGCAAATGCAACGGGCTTCATTACAATCGGGTCTTCTGAGACATGTGCAGTTGGGGTGTTGAAGACGTGGCGAGTGTAGTTGCGATTGATGGCCTTGACGAAGTGCCGAGAGAGGTGGCGTTGGTAATCGCGATCTCTATGTCGATGGCGTTCGAAATATTGTGTGTGTGAAGGTTGCATTCTGTTAGTGTAGATGTGCGTGTTTGTTGATTCTGTAGAATAGTGGTTGCAATTGGTGGTTCCCAACCAAGGTCTACACACCCAATGGACGGTACAACTTTTATCTTGGGATTTACCATGTGCTCTGCTGTACTCTACGCTTCCAACCGTTTGAGGTTCGGGGCTATCTACAACGTGGGTGTATGGGCTGAGTTGGTAGTGGCGGGAGGGTGTGTCCGTCATTTTGGTTAAATAGGTTTTTTTTTTTTTTTTTTTTTTCACACACGAATTCTGTCTTTAACTCCCAACACCTAAAGCCCATTCAAGTTCTTAACGAGACACAACTTGTGGTAGCATGCTAGTCGCAACTCCCGTGCTTTTATTTCCATCTCGGGTGCGATCTAAGAGTGTGGGATGAGCATGATGGAAACCAATCCCTTTCTCATTGCCCTTATTTGGAGAGAACATTGAATGTGATGTAGGAGTGTGTATGAACAAACGTAGTCAAGTCAGATTCAAAATCCATCTTGAGTTGCACTCTACCGACCATTTGTAACCAGGTCACTCCAAACAATTGCTTCCCTGGAAATTGATGGGGCACCAACCGACCTTTGTTTGTCAAAAAATGTTTGAGCCCCCCCCCCCCCTTTTTTTTTTTTTTTTTTTTGAAATCTTATCATATACGCTTACATCAATAGCCAAGGATGATCCATACTAACACACACATTGTTGGAAATTCAGCCCATCTTACGGCAAGCCCAACATGGGGACCCTCGGTCCCCTTCCCCCCCTGGGGGACGGCTCTCAGGCCACACGGGGACCCTCGGTCCCCTTCCCCCCCTGGGGGGCGGCTCTCAGGCCACACGGGGACCCTTGGTCCCCTTCCCCCCCTAGGGGGCGGCTCTCAGGCCACACGGGGACCCTCGGTCCCCTTCCCCCCCTGGGGGACAGCTCTCAGGCCACACGGGGACCCTCGGTCCCCTTCCCCCCCCTGAGGGACGGCTCTCAGGCCACACAGGGGCCCTCGGTCCCCTTTTCCCCCCTGGGGGACGGCTCTCAGGCCACACGGGGACCCTCGGTCCCCTTCCCCCCCTGGGGGACGGCTCTCAGGCCACACGGGGACCCTCGGTCCCCTTCCCCCCCTGGGGGACGGCTCTCAGGCCACACGGGGACCCTCGGTCCCCTTCCCCCCCCTGGGGGACGGCTCTCAGGCCACACGGGGACCCTCGGTCCCCTTCCCCCCCTGGGGGACGGCTCTCAGGCCACACGGGGACCCTCGGTCCCCTTCCCCCCCTAGGGGACGGCTCTCAGGCCACACGGGGACCCTCGGTCCCCTTCCCCCCCTGGGGGACGGCTCTCAGGCCACACGGGGACCCTCGGTCCCCTTCCCCCCCTCGGGGACGGCTCTCAGGCCACACGGGGACCCTCGGTCCCCTTCCCCCCCTGGGGGACGGCTCTCAGGCCACACGGGGAGACCCTCTGTCCGCTCTTTTTATTGGGAGGCGTCCTTGGGTGCGCGTGCAGTTTGATCCTGTAGTCCATGTAATTTCCCCGCGCGACTAGTAGAGCCTTTTATAAAAGTATTTCCACCACTGTAGTGTTGGCCCTGATTTTCTACCACCAAGGGATAAGAGGAGCTTATAGATTAATAGAAAATAAACGAAGAGGACAAAACGAAAATAAAACTGAAAGAAAATGACTTGCAGCACTTAGGCAACAAATGACGCCCAGTCAAACGCCTGAGGCGCTGCAGTGGCAATTTCGTCACTGCCGCGCCGGCGGCCATTTCGTCCATGGCGCGCCAGTGGCGATTTCGCCACTGGCGCACGTGGCAATTTCGCCACATGCGCGCGTGTGGCGATTTCGTCCCTGGCGCGCGCCACTTGCGCCAGTGGCGATTTCGTCCCAATCGCCTGCCACTGGCGCAAGTGGCGATTTCGTCCCTAGCGCGAGCCACTGGCGCCAGTGGCAATTTCGTCACTAGTGCGTGCCACAGGCGATTTTGTCTTTGGCGCGCCTGTTGGCGTTTCGTCCGGCGCACTTCGCTCTCAGTTGAGCGCCCGCTAAGTACAGTCGCACGCGTGATAGTGTTGCCCTTCATGAAAATCGACCGCTTGTAGGTGAGTCGTAGTAAGTAGTTCTAGTGACAGAGGAAACTTTCGAGGTGGTTGGACGAGAATGAGTGGAACTGCAAAGTTCCGAAATGAAGTCGTGGGTGGAGGTCGAATGGCCTCCAACCCTCGTTATGTACTCGGCGAATTGTAATTCGCCGTTGCTTTGCTTCGTGACAGTCAGCTGCACTTTCAAAATACGCATTTTTAGAAAGTGTTACACACTTCCGAAAAATCTCATATTTCAAAAGCATTCGTTAACAAGACAACAAGATATGCCTGTCCAGGAAACAACAAAACAACGAGGATAAAACCAATCTCCCTACTATTCATACCCTTGTGATGGAGCAGACAGTTGGCTCCCTACAGCGAAAGCAATTGCTTCATCAAAAGAACGGGTCGGATGCTCAACACTTTGAATGATCAAATCAACCGCATTCGGCTCCGTCCTATCACCCCCAAATACACTCTCTTGTATGCCCAGAAGCTCCGAGACAACTTGGTCCATGTGGGGCCGATGGGATGTGGGCATGGTTGTGCAGCGCAGTGCCAGCTGCCCCAGTTGAAGGAGCGCGTCAGAGGGAGCATCCAGTGCCGGGTCCCTGAAGCCCTCTGCATCCCCACATGCCACCAGCGGCTCGACCTGAAGGCCGGTGGAGGTTAACCAAACAAGAAGCAGCGGGAGCGTGTGAGGCAGAGGGGAAGGAATGTGCGGGGGAGGGCACAGCATGCTAGGAAAGGGACAGCTGGCGCGCAAATGGAGGTAACACAAGCGCACTAGCTGCAGAATGAGAGAGGAGGGGGGGGGGTGGGGGGGTGGGTTGTGGGGGGTTTACAGCGACCATTGGAAAGGTCGGTGCCCCAAGTTGTTCACTATGACCAATGGGCAATAGGCTTCTCAACGGACTCACCCATTGTCGAATGTGCACGTTTTGGTCCCCGATCTTCTGCAGTGCTCGCCGTGCCGTGAGTAGCTCTAGCATGACCACACCGTAGCTGCACAGCACAGGGGCATTGCAACAATGGAATGGGACCTCCGAGAATTCCTAGTCAGGTCAAGTCGCAATCCACAATCCAGCATTGCTACGCCGTAGCTGCAAAGGGCAAGATGGAGCAGATGGATCAAGAAAGTACAAGACACAGCTCCACACCTTGACGGGTGATGCCATGCCATTCCATTCCATGCCACGCCATGCCATGCCACGCCACGCCACGCCACGCCACGCCACGCCATGCCATACCAAGCGATGGTGTCTGATGGTTGAGCCTACAAGGTGATGACGACCGCAAACACCTACACACCACCCCCTCCCTTTTCCCCCTTATTCCCCTGGGGTGACTTTTGACTTTTGAGACGTCTCAAAAGTAGCCCAGGGTGCCTTGTGGCTTCATCACAACTACCGTGCAGTGCTTCCACCCACCTGCACACATCCCTCACATATCTACACACATCCTTCACCCACCTACACACATCCTTCTAGCCGGCCCTGCATGCATGCGTACCTGTACACGTCAGCGGCAGCGGTGGCCTTGCAGGACTTGGAGTAGGCGGGGTCCATGTAGCCGGGGGTGCGTTGTGGCCTCATCACAACTTATCATCACAGCTTACTTCTGCAGTTGTTCCACCCACCTACACACCTAATTCTAACCGACCCCGTGAGACCCTGCGAGACTCTGCAACTGTAAACGTCGGCAGCAGCGGTGGCCTTGCGGGACTTGGAGTAAGCGGGGTCCATGTAGCCCGAGGTGCCTTGTGGCTTTATCACAAATTACCGTGTGAGACCCTGCATGCCGCACCTGTACACGTCAGCAGCGGCGGTGGCCTTGCGGGACTTGGAGTAAGCGGGGTCCATGTAGCCTGGGGTGCCCATGATGCGAGTCGTGTCGCCGGTCGAGCTCTCGTCCCCCATGCGCGCGATCCCAAAGTCTGCAATCTTGGCCTGGTGGTGGGAGGGGATATGTCACGTGAAGCACCAAGAGGGGGGATGTTGGCATGCTCGCTTGTGAGGCCTGACGGACGGGTTGCGAATAAACTAGCATCCCACATCTGTTCATTACGTTGACTTTTGAGTCGACTCAAAAGTCAATAAACTAGCATACCACATCTCTTCATTACACACATGGGTTCCAACTCTTGATACGTCTCAAAAGTCATACCAAATCTGTTCATTACACAGATGGGTTCCAACTCCATCTGTTCAGTGAGCACATTGTTGATGGAGTTGCTTACTTAACGAACCCGCTCACCATCATATGGCGGTCCAGTAGGATGCTGGCTGGTTGACTTGTGCGTCGAATCTAACAAGTTGTCTTTTGAGTCCAAAAAAAAAAAAAAAAGAGTTGACTTCTGAGTCGACTCGAAACCGAGTTGACTTTTGAGACGACTCAAAAACCAAATCCACTCACCGTCATGTGGCAGTCGAGTAGGATGTTAGCAGGCTTGATGTCGCGATGCACGATGCCAAAGCTGTGCAGGTAATGCAGCCCTTGAGCCATGCCCACCAGCACACTCAGACGCTGCTTCAGGGTGAGCGGAGGCACGCCCGAGTCTGCAAAAAAAGGGGTTGAAGGAGTTACGAACGGGGAACACAAGGAGAAGCCGCGGGGTAGCAATCCCATGTAAGTCAAGAGGCAGGACGTGAGACCATGCTCTCCCTCATGGCTACAATTTACAAACACTGGGGACCATTTTATCCCCTCTTTAGCCGTTGCATACATTTGAGACCACATCCCTCGTTGATGTCACATGCGGTTTTTGGCACGTGATTGTTGTTCTCAGTTGGACTTCGTCCCCAGGACTATGATCCAGTACATCATGTATCGATACTTCCAAAGTAAAAGTTTTTTCTTTCTGTAACCTAATACATAGAAAACAGAAGGAGAAACACGAGAAATGAAAATGTCAATAGTGAAAAAGAAGTGTAACGGTGGCATGCTCTCAAATCATATTTGTGACCCCTCACCCTTGTCACCATGCAGATAGCGAAGCAGGTCGCCGCCATCCATGAACTCATACACCACGATCTGCTCATGCTCCTCTGTCCGCGCATCCATGTGCACGCAGTACCCCAGCAGCCGCACCAGGTTCGGGTGGTGCTTCGATGCCATTTGCTGCACCTGTTGGAGTGACAAGGGAGCAGAGGAGTGGGGCGGCGATGGCGAGTGTTAAATTACTTCAAAAAAAAAAGCTCGGCAGCCATTCTCGCATGCCATTTGCTGCACCTGTTGAAGTCAAAACGAGGGGGGGCGGGCCATATAGATAGTGAATGCTGTTTGTGGTTGAAAGGAAGGCCTGCTGCTTGCAAGCCATCTGCTTCACCTGTTGGCTGGGAGTAGCGGCGAACTTCAGAGTCAACTAAAGAACGCAGCGGCAAAAATTGGAGAAATCGATGATTGCAACTTGTACCATTTCTAGTGGGACCAAATCGCATTGCCTTCAGGATGGCTAGGTAATTCCATAACAAGTCTTGGTGTTGTTTGCATGCCATCTCCGGGACTGGGAAGGGTAGGATTGGCGTGGGGTTGGGGGAGGCAGAGGCGCATGAGCATGTGGTGGAATCCGAGGTACATTGGAGAGGAAGTGCCATGACATGATTGTGAGGCGCTTTTGAGAACTCTCAAAAAGTGCCATGACATGCTTGTGAGGTGGCCTCAAAAGACATGCGTGCCATCTGCTGCCATGCATGCCATCTGCTGGAACTGCTGGCATGACCAAGGGGCCAACGCGGCTTGGAATGTTCTCATTCTTTAATGTTTGACAGCTCTTGCAAATTTGTCAGCACGGACGCGTGTTGTGCCCATCGCACCATCCAAGAAAGGTGCGCGGCACTGGCACAACAGATTCGCTAGAACAGTGGAGAATTGTACCAACACCCGTAAGTCTGCACTCAGTTGTGACATCACACATGGCTTTCCAAACCTAGAATTCGCCCTGTTGACTTTGTTTCGTTCCGCTGAACAATGGCATCAGCTGCGGTGCGCCGCGCACCTCCATTCACGGCTCCATCTCGCCTCACGCCTCACCTCTCTGCGAAAGTCCTTGGTGATGATCTTGCCGCGCTTCACAGCCCACACACTGCCAAGGTCGCCTTTTGATTTGCCTAATAAATCGGCTCCATCTCGCCTCACCCTCACCCACCTCTCTCCGGAAGTCTTTGGTGATGATTTTGGCGCGCTTCACCGCCCACACACTGCCAGGGTCGCCAGGGGGCACACCTCGGAACACATCGCCATTCCCGCCCGACCCCACGAGGTTGCTTGGCGACCAGTTGTCAGTGGCAACCACCAGCTCCTCCAACTGCATCTCCCTACACAGGGACACTGCCGCCGCCGCTGCTGTGCTGCTGCTGCTGCTCCAGTGCCCTTGGCCAGTGCCTGCCACTCCCTTGCGCCCCTTGGCTTTCTGGGGCTGGTGGAGATGGTGGTGCCGTAGCCAGAGCAGGAGAGTGAGGATGAGTAGGAGGAGGAGACATGAAGCGCCGACTGCGATTCCTGCTATGGCTGCAGATGATAATCCGGGTGGCGGCTCTGTGTCAACAACTGGGCGCGGGTGGAGTGGGATGGGAGGGGAGGAGAGGAGTTGGGATGTGGTGTCATGAGTTGGGATGTGGTGCCATGAGTTGGGATGTGGTGCCATGAGTTGGGATGTGGTGCCATGAGTTGGGATGTGGTGCCATGAGTTGGGATGTGGTGCCATGAGTTGGGATGTGGTGCCATGAGTTGGGATGTGGTGCCATGAGTTGGGATGTGGTGCCATGAGTTGGGATGTGGTGCCATGAGTTGGGATGTGGTGCCATGAGTTGGGATGTGGTGCCATGAGTTGGGATGTGGTGCCATGAGTTGGAAACACTTTCAAGATGGCTCGGACTCACGGCTCACACATGGGTATGTGGTGCTGACATGGCACGGGTACTCTGTACATGGCACGTGTACTCTGTACATGGCACGGGTACTCTGTACATGGCACGGGTACTCTGTACTTGGTATGTGTGGACTTGGATGGGAGGGGCTGAGGTGTGGCGCCAAGTTCAACAGTTTAGGTGGTCACGATTGCATGCACTCCCAACTCACTAGTGTTCTTCTACACAGGGACGTGAGACGCATAAGTAACGGTGACGGTCTATCTCTAACGAAGAAAGGGGAAGGAAAAGAAGAAAGGAATAAAAACGAAGAAAAGGGAACGGAAGAGATGACATGGGCGAGAAAAGAATTACCGGGAAAGGAAGGGAAGGGATGTGATGGAATGGGAGGGCATGGGATGGGATGAGGTGGGATGGAATGGGATGGCATGGGATGCCATGGGATGGCATGGCATGGCATAGAATGGCTGCAGTGAATGAAATGACTCACCAACAGAGCAGGTGAGCGAACCATTGACTTGTACAGCGTGGTAACCAGGCGAGCAACTGCATGTGTAACCATTGACATTGCCCGTGCCACTGCAGTTGCCGTTGCCACAAGGGTTGTTGCTGTAGGGGCATGTGCTGTCTCCAGTATTGACTGTGGGCACATGGCATGGCAGGGGATGGCATTAAATGTTGCCAAGTAGACATGAGACGATTTTTTAGGCGCCTCAAGAAAGGTTGCTGCTGGGGCATGAGCTGCTGGGGCATGTGTCGTGCTGCTGTGGCATGTGCTGCTGTGGCATGTGTTGCTGTGGCATGTGCTGTGCTGCTAGGGCATGTGCTGTGCTGCTGTGGCATGTGCTGTGCTGCTGTGGCATGTGCTGCTGTGGCATGTGTTGTTGTGGCATGTACTGCTGTGGCATGTGCTGCTGTGGCATGTGTTGCTGTGGCATGTGCTGTGCTGCTGTGGCATGTGCTGCTGTGGCATGTGCTGTGCTGCTGTGGCATGTGCTGTGCTGCTGTGGCATGTGCTGTGCTGCTGTGGCATGTGCTGTGCTGCTGTGGCATGTGCTGTGCTGCTGTGGCATGTGCTGTGCTGCTGTGGCATGTGCTGCTGTGGCATGTGCTGTGCTGCTGTGGCATGTGCTGTGCTGCTGTGGCATGTGCTGTGCTGCTGTGGCATGTGCTGTGCTGCTGTGGCATGTGCTGTGCTGCTGTGGCATGTGCTGCTGTCAGGACTCAGAATTGCCTGTGAGCACATGGAGGGTCCGCGCACCGGCGCTGCGTAGGCGCGTGATACTAGACTGCCAGGTCAGCACAATGAAGTGATGTACAGCTCGATTTTGCATGCCAAGCTGCACAAACTCTCATTCCACACACGAACAGCACGCCAAGCGCAACATGGCATGCATGCATAGTGCACACGCTGCAGTTAGGTGTTATTGCCAATACCTCTCGCGGACATCCAAAGGAGCTGCAGTGACACATGGCAAACATGCCTACAGCACACGCTGCAGTAAAGTGTTATTGCCTCTTGAACATCCAAACAAGCTGCAGTGATAAATCAAATATTTTTCCCCGCAAATGAATCACCTGGCCTGGTGCACAACACTACTGCTGCCCCATGCTTGAATCACCTGGTGCACAACACTACTGCTGCCCCATGCTTGAATCACCTAGTGCACAACACTACTGCTGCCCCGTGCTTGAATCACCTGGTGCACAACACTACTGCTGCCCCATGCTTGAATCACCTGGTGCACAACACTACTGCTGCCCCGTGCTTGAATCACCTGGTGCACAACACTACTGCTGCCCCATGCTTGAATCACCTGGTGCACAACACTACTGCTGCCCCATGCTTGAATCACCTGGTGCACAACACTACTGCTGCCCCATGCTTGAATCACCTGGTGCACAACACTACTGCTGCCCCATGCTTGAATCACCTGGTGCACAATAAGGGTCGCCTGAGGAAGGGTTGACTTGGCTGAAGCCGGCGGCGCACAAGCAGCCGAGAAACGCCGACCCGTTGGTGCGGCAGAAGCCGGGGAGACACAAGCCGAGGGTGACATCTGAACAGTTGGCGGGCCTGCCTGGTGCAGCATGGACAGCATGGATTGAACGAGGGAGGACTGAGAGGAAAGGCCTCCTTTTGAGGCACCTCAAAAGACGTCTGAACAGTTGGCCGGCCTGCCTGGTGCGGCATGGACAGCATGGATTGGATGGGGTGGAAGGAGAGGAGAGGCTTCTTGTGAGGCGCCTCAAAACACATCTGCACAGTTGGTGCGGCACACACAGACAGCATGGATTGGAAGGAGTGGAACGAGGGGAACAGGAGAATTTTGAGACGTACCAAAAGCCGGCCTGCCTGGTGTGGCATGGAAAGCATGGATTGGATAAGGGAGGAGTGAGAGGAAAGGGGGGGAAGAGAGGCAAGGAAGGAAGAGAGGAAAGGGAGGAACAAGACAAGACTCAATGCATTCATCCGAGTAAAGTGTTTACGATTGGGCTCTCACAGTGCTGCAGCGCAAGATGGCACACATTTAAGAGTAAGAGTACTGTGCAAGGCCAATCGCAAACACTGCTCTTGAAGGGGGTGCAGGGAGGAGATATACTTGGAAGGCGGGAGCAGTTGAAGGGTGAGTGGGGCATGGCGCAGGAGCAGGAGTAGGCGGCGCCATCCACCCAGAAGCAGCGCGGCGACACGTCCAAGCAGGCGTAGATGGCATCAGCGCACTGCCATGTGTTCCTCTCTGACGCGAGCCATGGAGATGAATGGGTATGTCATGCCAGGGATGGAGATGAGCGAGTATGTAAGGCAGGTTGTGCCAGGGAGGGTGGAAGGGGGGGTGTTGGGGACAACAGGGTTTTTGGTTGGGAGGAAGGAGTGAGACAGTAGTATCGAACGTAGCAATAGATTGTTGGCATTCACACCAGCACACCCACCAACCACGTAAGGTGAGCACTTTTGGAAATATGTGCCCCATCAGCAGATGCATTACAGCATCGGTGCATGCATTGCACTACAGCATCGGTGCATGCATTGCATTACAGCATCGGTGCATGCATTGCACTACAGCATCGGTGCATGCATTGCACTACAGCATCGGTGCATGCATTGCACTACAGCATCGGTGCATGCATTGCACTACAGCATCGGTGCATGCATTGCACTACAGCATCGGTGCATGCATTGCATTACAGCATCGGTGCATGCATTGCATTACAGCATCGGTGCATGCATTGCACTACAGCATCGGTGCATGCATTGCATTACAGCATCGGTGCATGCATTGCACTACAGCATCGGTGCATGCATTGCACTACAGCATCGGTGCATGCATTGCATTACAGCATCGGTGCATGCATTGCACTACAGCATCGGTGCATGCATTGCACTACAGCATCGGTGCATGCATTGCACTACAGCATCGGTGCATGCATTGCATTACAGCATCGGTGCATGCATTGCACTACAGCATCGGTGCATGCATTGCATTACAGCATCGGTGCATGCATTGCACTACAGCATCGGTGCATGCATTGCATTACAGCATCGGTGCATGCATTGCACTACAGCATCGGTGCATGCATTGCATTACAGCATCGGTGCATGCATTGCACTACAGCATCGGTGCATGCATTGCACTACAGCATCGGCGCACGCGCTGATGTGGTGATGCATCTGAGTGTGACGATGATGGAACGCATGAGCTGATGCTGCAACGCACGCACTAAAGTGGTGATGCATGTGCTGATGCACCAGCCGATGGATGCACAGATGCTCATGTGCTGATGCCGCAATCCATGCACTGATCCATGTGACACTGCCTCCCTACATTCCCTTCCCCCTATTCTGCTTTTGAGTCGACTCAAAAGCACCAACAGATGGATGTTCATGTGCTCATGTGCTGATGCCGCAATCCATGCATTGATCCATATGATACTCCCTCCTACATTCCCTTCCCCCTATTCTCTCTCCTGCGTTTCATGTCCCCTAGTAGCGTTTCATGTCCCCTAGTAGCGTTTCATGTCCCCTAGTAGCGTTTCACATGAACTTGTGGACGCGGATGCAGAGACATGCCGAGTGGATGCAGAGGCATGCCGAGTGGATGCAGAGACATGCCGAGTGGATGCAGAGACATGCCGAGTGGATGCAGAGACATGCCGAGTGAATGAAGAGACATGCCGAGTGAATGAAGCGGAAAGTGTAGACTGGCCTTCTTGCTCATTCATGTGTAGAAAGTGTGCTTTTGGGACATCTCAAAAACGCACTTTCTACATGTAGACGGGCCTTCTTGCTCATTCATGTGTAGAAAGTGTGTTTTTGGGACATCTCAAAAACGCACTTTCTACATGTAGACGGGCCTTCTTGCTCATTCATGTGTGTTGCATCATGCGGACTTATCTGTGCTGCACTGCTATGGCTTATCTTTTGTGCTGCATTGATATGGCCCATCATCTGTGCTGCATGCATGCTCACTCACCCCGGAGCATGGCACTACGAGGTTGCTTGATACCCACGGTTACACTCACAGTCGACAAGCTCACCTTTGGAGCATGATGGCATGCGGTTGGGGCAGGTCTGCACAAGGCCTGGCGGGCAGCTGCAAAAGAGTACCCCGCAGCGCCGAGGTGGGTTTTGAGGCGCCTCAAAAACCGTCTGAAAGCTCACCTTTGGAGCATGATGGCATGTGGTTGCGGGAGGTCTGCACAAGGCCTGGCGGGCAGCTGCAAGAGTACCCCGCAGCGCCCACCGAGTCGTTCACACACGCGCCGGGAAGGCACGGGTTGGAGGAGAAAGCAGCACAACCGTCTCTGGAGGGTGGCATTGCTGCAGACGGCATTGTGATGTGAGGCGTGGCGGGAGGGGAGGCAGGGGAACGGGAAGCACTTCCAGGTAAGCGATGGGTAGGTGGAGAGGTAGCGCCTCAAAAAACTTTTGAGTTTTGGGGCGCCTAAAAAACTTTTGAGTTTTGGGGCGCCTAAAAAACTTCTGAGTTTTGAGGCGCCTCAGAAGGAGGGGAGGCAGGGGAACAGGGTGCACTTCCTGGCAAATGATGGGTAGGTGGATGAGGTGAGAAGCAACTTCATTAGCAACATCACCATGAGGCGAGAGGTGATGAAGAGGAGTGTGTGAGTGAAGCCACCGCTTACGTTGTGATTCAACACTTGGGGTAGGGTTTGTCTGTCACAGTGGCATAGCATGTAACACCAACGATGCATAACCCATCAGAATCACTCCCACCATGCTACCATCCCACCATGCGTAGCTGACATCCCACCATGTAAGCCATCCCACCATGTAAGCCATCCCACCATGCATGCCATCCCACCATGCACGCCATCCCACCATGCACGCCATCCCACCATGCACGCCATCCCACCATGCACGCCATCCCACCATGCATGCCATCCCACCATGCACGCCATCCCACCATGCACGCCATCCCACCATGCATGTCATCCCACCATGCATGCCATCCCACCATGCACGCCATCCCACATGCCCAGCATGCAGCGTGCAGACCCACCCCACATGCATCTACACCCTGCCCCCCTCTCCTTCCCTTACAACGCGTACCCAGGCACGTCGGAGCGCCCGCACTCGTGGTCTGCTCAAAGCCAGTGGGGCAGCGGCAGGTGTAGCCGGGGGCAGCTGAGGAGTTGCTCACACAGGCGCCGGGCAGGCATGGGTTGGCCTGCAGCAGTGCACACGCGTCCTTTGGAGGTGGTGACGGTGACGAGGTGGTTGGTGGTTCCGAGGGGGGTGCTTCCGAGGGGGGTGCTGGTTCCGAGGGGGGTGCTTCCGAGGGGGGTGCTTCCGAGGCGGGTGCTTCCGAGGCGGGTGCTTCCGAGGGGGGTGCTGTTGAGTTTCGATCTGTCAGCAGAAGGGATGACGCACGGTTGGGGGATGAGTGATAACTCAAGGGCGAGTTTGCATAGAGGTTGAGCAATGCGGCGTGCTTAGGCTGCCAGCGAGCAGCTTGCAGACCCACTCCCATATGCATGCACCTTCACCCCGCCCGCCCCTCCCTCCCTCCTCCCCGTGAAAGAAGCGTAATTCAAAGACATCTTATCAAAGCTACACTTCTTTCCCGCAGACCCACCCACTCCCACATGCACCTTCATCCGCCCCACCCCCTCCCTTCTCCCCGAAAACGCTTACCCAGGCACGTCGGTTTGCCCGCAAGCATGGCCTGGTCATAGCCAGTGGGGCAGCGGCAGGTGTAGCCAGGGGCAGCTGAGGAGTTGCTCACACAGGCGCCGGGCAGGCATGGGTTGGCCTGCAGTAGTGCACACGCGTCCTTTGGAGGTGGTGATGGTGCCGAGGGGGGTGCTGTTGAGTTTTGGATCGTGGGCACGAGGGATGGGGCATGGCTGGGGAATGAGGCACGGTTGGGGAATGAGGCGCGGTTGGGGAATGAGGCACGGTTGGGGGATGAGGCACGGTTGGGGGATGAGTAAGAACTCATGGGCGAGTTTGCACAGAGGTTGAGCAATGCGGCGTGCTTAGGCTGCCAGGCAGTGCAGTTGAGCATGCAGAGCATAGCCTGAAGGGTAGCACACACACTATTGCAGAGCCCCCGAGGCGAGGACAAGCACGCCTTCACAATTACCATTATTCTCTTGAGTGAGGCCATGATGCTCGCAACAGCATGAGCAAGGGGATGTGGGGAGACTTGAACGGGGTTACGGGGCTGACCAGGTTGAGGAACACAGTAGGGGTAGGGGAAGGTGGAGGAATCGTTGAGTGGGGTGAATCCAACAGCACACTGGCAGCCTGTGAGGCGAGTGCCATCGTCCACACACACGCCCGGCGCACACACCATTGCCTCCACGTCCATGCAGTCTGCTGACCTCACTGCAAAGGGCGTTTAGCGGGGTGTGAGGGGGTGTGAGGGGGTGTGAGAGGGGTGTGAGGGGGTGTGAGAGGGGTGTGAGAGGGGTGTGAGAGGGGTGTGAGAGGGGTGTGAGAGGGGTGTGAGAGGGGTGTGAGAGGGGTGTGAGAGGGGTGTGAGAGGGGTGTGAGAGGGGTAAGGCGTGCAGGTATGGATGAGTGGGTGCTTCTATTTCGCTGCACTCTTGGCAAGCCTTTGAGGCGCCTCAGAAGTCGACTTTTGAGGCGCCTCAAATTCTGCCACACTAATAGCAAGCCCACGCCTGCTGTCCCCACAGCCGTGCACGCTGCTGTCACCACAGCCGTGCACACTGCTGCCTGCCTGTGAGGAGGGGTGGGGACAGACCAAGGGGTGGGGACAGACCAAGGGGTGGGGACAGACCAAGGGGTGGGGACAGACCAAGGGGTGGGATGAGATGGGCAGGTACTGTTGAGTGCGGTATTGTTCTGACGGACAGCCTCCATTCACAAGCCCGCCTGTTGCCCTGCCCGTGAACCCTGCTGCCTGCCTGGCTGTGACATATGGCTGAGCAGGCAGAGGGCAGGGACATATGGATGAGCAGGCAGAGGGCAGGGACACGGCATGCGCAAAGGGAGAGCTTAAATGGAAAATACTTTGATGTGGAAAGGCGTTTAATGTGGTGACGGAGACGGGGGAGTGTGTGGAACGACGAGAGGAAGGTGAGCACAACGAGAGGAAGGTGAGCACGACGAGAGGAAGGTGAGCACGACGAGTCTGAGCAATAGCATGGGGCGGAATATTCGAGCTCGGGAAATGGTAGTTGGCGACAGTGAGAAAGGAGATAAATGTGTGATCCTCCTGGCAGCACAGGAGTTGAGATGCCTCAAATAATGCAGGATTTAATTGGAAGCACAGGAGGAACAAGGAATGAGGAAGGAACGGAAGGAGGGAATGAGGGATGCAGGGAGGGGTGCAAAGGGGGAGGGGCGGGATGGTGGGTAGTGGGTGGTGAAACGAACATTGGAGTGGGGTGCAGGTCCACTGGCGCGTTTGAGGGTTGGTGCAGTTGCAGGAGAAGGTGGAGGCACGGTAGAAGTAGCATTGAGGGGTGGCTTCAAGACAGAACATGAGGTTGACAGCACACCGATGCATTTCATCTGATGGTCGAGGCAGAGACACATGGGATGAAAGGCAGAGCAGAGACACATGGGATGAAAGGCAGAGCAGAGACACATGGGATGAAAGGCAGAGCAGAGACACATGGGATGAAAGGCAGAGCAGAGACACATGGGATGAAAGGCAGAGCAGAGACACATGGGATGAAAGGCAGAGCAGAGACACATGGGATGAAAGGCAGAGCAGAGACACATGGGATGAAAGGCAGAGAAGAGACACATGGGATGAAAGGCAGAGCAGAGACACATGGGATGAAAGGCAGAGCAGAGACACATGGGATGAAAGGCAGAGCAGAGACACATGGGATGAAAGGCAGAGCAGAGACACATGGGATGAAAGGCAGAGCAGAGACACATGGGATGAAAGGCAGAGCAGAGACACATGGGATGGGAGGCAGAGCAGAGACACATGGGATGGGAGGCAGAGCAGAGACACATGGGATGGGAGGCAGAGCAGAGACACATGAGATGGGAGGCAGAGCAGAGACACATGGGATGGGAGGCGAGGCAGAGACACATGGGATGGGAAGCAGAGCAGAGACACATGGGATGGGAGGCAGAGCAGAGACACATGGGATGGGAGGCAGAGCAGAGACACATGGGATGGGAGGCAGAACAGCGGCACATGGGAAGAAGAGGCATGGTAAAAGAGTAACAGACTCAAACCGAAGGGCATAGGGAAATGGAATAAGAATTGGAGGCATCCTAAGTCTGTCTTATTGGCGAGAAAAAAACGCCTTTCATCTTAACCCAATCTACGATACAGCCATCACCATTGAATGGCCAACACCATTGTAGCCATCGCAGTCCAGGCCCGACTCACATGTAAGATCAGCTTGACTTTTGAGTCGACTCATAAGTCAACACCATTGTAGACATCGCAGTCCAGGCCCGACTCACATGTAAGATCAGCTTGACTTTTGAGTCGACTCAAAAGTCAACACCATTGTAGACATCGCAGTCCAGGCCCGACTCACATGTAAGATCAGCTTGACTTTTGAGTCGACTCAAAAGTCAACACCACTGTAGCCATCGCAGTCCAGGCCCGACTCACATGTAAGATCAGCTTGACTTTTGAGTCGACTCAAAAGTCAACACCACTGTAGCCATCGCAGTCCAGGCCCGACTCACATGTAAGATCAGCTTGACTTTTTGAGTCGACTCAAAAGTCAACACCACTGTAGCCATCGCAGTCCAGGCCCGACTCACATGTAAGATCAGCTTGTCCGTCAACTCTTGTCGCGAGCATGGCCGCGAGCAGTAGCGCCGTCACGGCGACTGCAGCGGACGCCACGGCCGGCGGCAGCAGCCGTTGCATGTTGCTGGATGGGCCTCAGACACGCTCGCACTGACGACGGCAATGCTGACCGACTCGGAGTCTAGATACGGACGATGGAGTCTATATGCTGACGAGGCGCGCAGGACGAGTGGAGCAGCAGAGAGCACGACGAGAATAGCACCAGTCGTTTCAGTGGTGTGCTGTGTTGATGAGATGAGCGGAATATACGGAGATAGTCGTACTGACAGAAATGAGAGGCCTCGTTTCTTGGATAAACTAAATGGGATTCTTGACTCGCGACTCGCGAGATTCGGGTGAAGCCGCGATATTCCGGAAACGTTGAGCCTGGGAAAACGGATGGTGAATAGCAAACTTTGAATACAGAAATGAGACAAGTGGTTCTTGTCGCACGAAAGGAGGACACTCGGGACGTGACGGCTGGTATCCAGTTAAAGTGCGTAGTAACGTATGAGCTCATTGTCTGCGGCCGCCTTGAAAGGTGAGCAAAAAACGGCTTTGCTCTGGTGGTGGTGAATCTTGTTTTGCCCCTCAACGACAACGAGACGGAAATGGCGAGTAAGGGATGGCGGTGGCGGCCCATTGCCTTGTTGTTACTGTACCCGTGCGATGCGGAAGGAATGCAGGCAGTTTCTTGTGAGCGTTGAAGGACAACCCGGTGAGCTGGCAGGTGAAGGCTTTCATTTCAAACCAAAACCAGCGCCTGAATGGTACTCTACTGTGCTTCCACGCTATGTCAACCACTTCCTCTGCGTCAACCACTGGGCTTTCATTTCAAACCAAAACCAGCGCCTGAGGGCGTATCCCTGGGTGGTGGCAGGGCCACTGTAGATGGCAGAGTTGGTGGCATGCGGGAAAACCGCATGCCACCAACATTTTTACCGAGGCGCGCGCGACTCGTATTTGGTGGCATTGAAGTGACATTTTTGGGGCATTGCCCAATCACGCACCTGTATTCGCGCGCCAAATTTCCTGACACCAACCTGGCGTTTTATGTGTTCGTGGCAGGCTGCCATCTACAGTGGCCCTGCCACCACCCAGGGATACGCCCTGAATGGTACTGTACTGTGCTTCCACGCTATGTCAACCACTTCCACTGTGTCAACCACGGGTCCAGCGAGAAGTGTTCTTCGGAGTGAGGTGAGCAACGGTGCCTGTCTAGTTTGTTGGGCAAAGGTTTATCACCATCCTCTCAAAACAACCAACAATTTCCTGGTACATGCAAAGGTTTATCGTATCACTTGTGCAGTTGTATCAATGCTAGAACAACTTGATTTGCTGTCAAACGCTTGCTGTGGCTTCACTTCATTCTTCAATAAAGCATTTTATACAAGCAGGAAACGTACATATTGACAAGATTTGCTAACAGCGGCACGCATGAAACAAAGGACGCAGGAAAAAAAAAAGTAGTTTTTACTTATGCATGGATCGGTACAGCCACTTTCATGTTGAATGCGGAGCAGTGGCCAGGCACACTGCAGGAGAAGAGAATCGATGTGCCTTTTGCTGAAGCTGGAACCTTGTACCTGACACATGATTCAAACGATGAGTGGACAGCGCAAGGCAAAGCCATCCCAGAAAAACTTGCAACACAGGATGGCAACAATCGCCTCAACTTGAGAGCAAGAAACTCCTATAACAAGAAACTTCGCAGATGCTTGAATGAAGGGCTGTGGCAGTCGCAGCAGAAACCCAAGACACCAGCAAGGTGTCCAACTCCGCAAAGATTCAACAACGTTCCGGACAGCACGCCCACTTGTACTCCCCCCACCTGTTATGAACCCTGTCTCCTCAGCGGGACCCCTTAAATCACAAGTATCGTGCACACCTACAGTGCATTGCCTCAACTCAAAACGCTCTCTGCATAGTCACAGTCAACCACGGATGACATGCCAGTCTTCTTACTAGCCGCCCCAAAGCCGCAGGTAGCATGCATGCCCACAGTGCATTGTCTCATCTCAAGAAGTGCTTTACACACTCACTTGTACTTCCCCACAGATGTGATGCCAGTCTTCCTAGTGGCCGCCCCAAAGTCACAGTTGTTGTACGCGTCCATGGTGTTCATGATCCACACGTCATGCGGGATGCCCCTCCACTTGAACACTGCAGGCAGTGACGCAGACAGAGACAGGGACGCACAGGGAAGTGAGGTTGGATGAGGTCACTGGGGGGAGTGAGGCCAGTGGAATAAGACGGACCAATATAAGCAATGCAGCAATAACACATCAGGGGAGCGCTGTAAGAAGAATGAATCCTAGAGCAGAGGATTATAAAACGAAAAATATTGCAACCAGTGGAACTGATAAGTCTGCCCTTCTTGGAAATTGCATCCCCTTGCAACGACCACTGCCAAGGAGGGGTAGTGTGGGTGCGAGGAGTGCAGAGGGTGAAGGAGGTGTACCGAGAGTGTCTCCGGCGTGAATGACGCCCTTGGGCTTCCACTTCTTCACGCCGTATCCCCACGGACTCAACCCACTGCCGCCCACTGTGAACACCTTCGCCTGTTGGGCAAGGCGATGGCAGCGAGGAAGACGAAGACACAAAGATACAGAGGGTGAGGAGACAATGAGATGAAGAGAGAGGCACACAGATGGAGGGATGGTGCAGAAATGTACGGAGAGGATGAGATGGAGATGCGAGGGCAAGAACAGAGGTGAGTTGTGTGCGAGAATCGAGGCGGACCAAACGAGTACAGGAGGAATGACGAGTATGACTCAGAAAGAAAGGAGTCTTAGAGTAATAGACTCATAATTGCAGTGCGATGTGACAGGAGGAAAAGGCATGACGACAGGGGAGCATGTGAGAGACAGGGGAGAAGGCAGGAGGGCAAGAGAGCAAGAAAGAGGCAAGAGGCAGGAGGGTAGGAGAGCAAGAGGCAAGAGACAGGAGGGTGAGAGAGCAGTACCTCTGATTGGATTGCGCCTGCCACCAGGGGATGTGTGGAGGGGGGGGGGGGGGGGTGGGGGGAAGCAGAAGGGAGAAAGAAAAGAAAAGACACAGGAAGGGGGAAAGCGGGGGGGGATGAGCGAGTAACGGAAACAAAGGCTTCCAGGAGCGCGATGATGGGTGAACAAGCGCAGAAGAACAGGAGAGCAGCAGAGCAGGACCAGGGGGGTGTGACAGACTGGCGGCAGAGACTCTTCAAGAAGCAAGAAAGTGAGTAGGTGGCCAAACAGCCATGAGAAACCGAACGCGGCGGAAGTCGAGGCTAAGCATGAGGTTGATGCGAGAAACGCGGGAGTCGCGAGGAAGTAACGACGCAGAGTCACATGGAGCAAAGGGGCGGTCCACGGAACGACTCGAGAGAGTCGGACTCCGGGTCTCCGAAGGGAGAAAGAAGGATCAGCGCGTACAGAGCAGAAAGACGAGCGCTGTGGTCGTGAGGGCAATCGCGGCAAGCGAGCGAGTCATGGCGACGACGGAAGGGCGCGCGACAAGGGAGCAGTTTCTCTTGAATAATCGAATCGCCACGGCGAATACGAGAGACAGAGTTCCTGAAAGGCGGAGCGTATTGAACCACGCGTGAGCGGGGAATGAGAGTCGGCGAGGAGTACTTACAAAGAAAAGAAGAAGCTGGGATTCTGGTTGAGTCCGAAGCACGAGCCGTGCTTATTTCTAGGTCGGGTGGTTGTTGCTTCCTGTGCTTGGTCGGCTGGTTCTTTCGTCTCCCAGTCGGAATTTTTCCGCTTTGGTCGGCGGCTCCGTCCCTCCATTCTTGCGCCTTCAGCCAATCACCAAATCCCTCGGACCCTCCCTCTGTATGTTCCCCGCGCTACCAGCGCTACCCGCTCCTCGCGCTCCGCGCATGCATCCTTTCCCCCCCATCCCCTTCCTCCTTTCACTTGTTCCCTCCCCCCTCCCCCCAACAATTGCCTGGGGTGGAGAGAACCTGTGGAAGGCTCGTGGAACGAGCAAGTTGCACCAATCTGCCGTCCAGTGACGTTTGGCATGGCGTGACTGTGGTGCGGAGCCTCAACGGCGCAACGCAAACGAAAAGCAGAACCGATGCCCGAAGGATCGGACGACTGAACAACAACGATGCGGAATCGTACGGCGAGATTACGATGAGGCAAAGGGCGGGAGACAAGTGAGCTAGCATTGGACGCGTGGCAGACAGAGGAGCAACCATTGTTGAAAGTGAGGTGACCTATCAGAGCAGTTTGAATGGTCGGTAAGTCTGTTTGCGATGCGACATCTCTGCTATCTGTGAGGGTCGGCATACAGTAGTCTGTTCAAACACTTGCCATTCAATACACTCCTCTACAGCCCAAGCTCATCCCTCTCGTCAAAAGATGAACCAGAAGACTGGTATCAAGTATCAGAAATAATAACACGTCAACCATGAAGTCCACGCAACCACATACCGTTTCCATCAGGATGCTGGAGGAAGCATGGACAAGCTGCATGCTGACAGTTTCCTTGATGCTGTCCTTGTAACCATTTGCATTCAAAAAGAATGTCAAAACCACATTGTTCTCAGCAAATAGTCCAAAACACACATGGTACTTCAAAGCCCTGCCACCGCCTGTCCAACACCCACGTCTGCAAACGCCTAGAAAGCATTATCCGCCACAAGGCCAAGCCACAAGTGGCCCACTCAAGGATAAGAAACTGGTGACACAAGCTAACACCCATAACACTCTCAACTGTTGCCAGCATTCACTTCTTCTTGGCCGCAGCCTTGGTCACCTTGGCACCAGAGGGATCCTTCTTCTCAACGCTCTTGATGACACCGACGGCCACTGTTTGCCTCATGTCACGCACAGCGAAGCGTCCAAGAGGAGGGTACTCGGAGAAGGTCTCGACGCACATGGGCTTGGTGGGAACCATCTTCACGAAGCAAGCATCACCGTTCTTCACAAACTTGGGCTCCTTCTCCAGCTCCTTGCCGGAACGCCTGTCCACCTTGGTGATAATCTCAGAGAACTTCACAGCAATGTGGGACGTGTGGCAATCCAGCACAGGCGCGTAGCCATTACCGATCTGGCCAGGGTGGTTCATGATGATGACCTGCGAGGTGAAGTTGGCAGCCTCCCTGGCGGGGTCGTTCTTCGAGTCAGACGCGACGAAGCCACGCTTGAGCTCCTTCACCGACACGTTCTTCACGTTGAAGCCAACGTTGTCACCGGGGCCAGCCTCGGGCAGAGACTCGTGGTGCATCTCCACCGACTTAACCTCAGTGGTCAGACCGCTGGGAGCGAACACCACAACCATACCGGGCTTCAGCACACCAGTCTCCACTCGACCGACCGGAACTGTTCCGATACCGCCGATCTTGTACACGTCCTGGAGGGGCAGACGCAGGGGCTTGTCGGACGGCCTCTTGGGCTCGGACACCTGATCCAGAGCCTCCAGCAGGGTGGGGCCCTTGTACCAGTCCAGGTTGGTGGAGCGCTCAATCATGTTGTCACCCTCGAAACCAGAGATGGGCACGAAGGGAATCTTGTCAGGGTTGTAGCCGACCTTCTTCAGGTACGACGACACCTCCTTCACGATTTCCTCGTAACGAGCCTTGGAGTACTTGGGGGTGGTGGCATCCATCTGCAGAACGCAACAAAATCAGCGTCAATACCAGAAATCTACGGCCGATACTTGGAAATACGACCATGGCAGCAGGGATCAACGAAATTATAAATGTTTTAACGGATTAAGTCGCCAAACATCGAGAAATAGGATGATACGCGAGCCACTTACCTTGTTGCAGCAGCAGATCATCTGCTTCACACCAAGGGTGAACGCCAGCAGAGCGTGCTCACGGGTCTGACCATCCTTGGAAATACCGGCCTCGAAACCACCAGTGGTGGAGTCGATGATCAGAACAGCGCAGTCAGCCTGTAACAGACATGCCACAGGTCAGATCGGGTACTCAGCGCATGGAATGAGACAAAAGAAACCAGAACTCCGAACAAAAACGATGGAGCGCAATCAGCTGACCTGCGAGGTTCCCGTAATCATGTTCTTGATGAAATCGCGATGGCCGGGAGCGTCAATGACCGTGCAGTAGTACTTGTTGGTCTCGAACTTCCACAGAGCGATATCGATGGTAATACCACGCTCGCGCTCCGCCTTGAGCTTGTCCAGCACCCAGGCGTACTTGAAGGACCTCTTGTTCATTTCAGCGGCTTCCTTCTCGAAACGCTCAATCACACGCTTGTCAATCCCACCCAGCTTGTAGATGAGATGACCAGTCGTCGTCGATTTGCCGGAGTCGACATGGCCGATGACGACAATGTTGATGTGCAACTTTTCCTTACCCATGTTGGCAACCTGAAATGGTTCGACGTTCAGCAGAAAAAAACAAACAAACAAACAAACAAACAAACCAACAACAACGAAACAAATTATATGATTAGCCCGTCACGAACGCAGCGATCAATACGACATAATGGAACAGCGGATAAGCTTAACCGATGATCCGACTGCAACGCGAATGGCAAGAATAAGTCAAGCAGCCATTAGAACCTAACCTACCTGAGTTAGGAGAAGGGCTCTGAATTCAGGGAGGAGGCAGAAAGGGCGAGAATGAAGTCCAAACCCCAAACTTCAGCTGGCGGGTGAGTGGGAGACAATTGGCTTGGCAAGGCAAGGTGCAAGGGGGGGATCCAGGGACTGACGTTCTGACGGAACGTAGACGACAAGGGCACAGATAGGTCTACCTCGACGTCCTAATTGCCGGTTGCGAAATATTGAGGAGTGTTATGGTTGGTTGCGAAAATTCCACGTGGCGCCAGCGAGGTTGGAGTTTGTGATCTCAGAAGCAGGCCGAATACGAAGCCCAAAAGTCGAGACGTTATATCTCCCCGAACAAGCAACTGATGAACAAACAATATGCTACTGAAACACTGATGGGCATACGGTACAAGGAGGTTAATCCACCAAAAAAAAAAAACCAGTAAAACAAGGATTCATCATGTCTGATTCCTTCACAGCATATCCATATTTGGTAGCATGACAAGAAAAAGAGGGGATCTTGGTGTATATGTCGTGCACCGTATACGCATTGCCTTTCCAGCAATTTGTCGTCTGGTTTGGAGAACCTCTGTGAATTTCGAAACAACACTCACAAAATGCCATAAGCAACAATGCAAGGCAAGTGGGCTGTTCCAGCAATTTAAATGTGCTGAATCAGTTTTTCTGCCAGGATCTTGGATCGATTTAATAACGCCACCCCACGAGCAAGCCCTCTATTTGGTTTTGGGGCAGACTGCTCTGTATGTAGCGCTCTATGCACCAGAACCTGTCAACCAACGCAGACCTACCAAGCTTATCATTCATACTACCATTACACATGGAGGTGATCAAAGTCAGAGCAATGTGGAGATAAGCACACACACATATCCTGATTCTAACCCTGCTGATCCATTTTCCCACAAGCATAAGGTTCAAGGATTCAGCAATGGGACATCACAAGAAGACGTAAAAACATTCCAGCCAGTCAGTTCAACATACATTCCCTTGTCACACTTGCAGCCTGAACAGCTCGAGCCACTGGAGGGACTTCCCTCAACGCATGCAGAGCAAGGCTCATGAGCGAACTCCACCTGTACAGTGACCTCCTCACCAGGTAGCAGCGAGAGGTAATTCTCAGAGTACACTGCAGGAAGCACCCTCTTGCCGTCCACCCGCCGGCGCACATTGAAACGGACAAAGAACGCCACACCTCCATCAACGCTCTCGTCCTCATTCACTCCTGCAGCAGGCTCATTCAAAGTCCCAGTGCGCCCCCCCACTGCTGCTCCTCCGTTTCCTTGCCGATCTGCGCTCTGCCTTCCATCCAAAACGCCTCCATTCACAGGATTGCTCACCAGCAGATACGCCCTCCACCAGATAGACCTCCCTCCATGGGCCTCACTGGGTGGTAGATGCATCCCTGCCTCACCCAGGGGAGGGGCGGAGGAGACGCGGAGGAGGGAGAGGGAGAGGCGCAGCTTGTGCTGGCGGAAGGGGCCTCCCAGGGCACGGAAATCACCCAGATAGGCGTAGGCGGGCGGGGGGGCGGAGGGGGCGGAGGAAGGGGCGAGAGAGGAGGGGGAGGAGGGGGTGGGGGAGGAGGAGGAGAAGGGCAGGAGGGCTGAGGCCGAGGAGGTAGGGGAGGGATCGGAGGGAGTGGAGAGGGCGGAGGGGACGCAGGGAGGAGAGGGGCTTGAGCGAGAAAGGGGGGAAAAGGGGGTGGTGGTGCTAGTATTGTGAAATTGTGCTGATGGTGGTAATGCTTCTGATGGTGCTGCTGGTGCTGCTGGTGCAGATGATGCTGATGGCGTTGATGGCTCTGATGGTGCTGCTGATACTGCTACCGGAGTTGATGGTCCTGCTGGTGCTGACAGTGCTGCTGGTGGCGATGCTGCAGGGGCAGTGCCGGGTGCAGCGGGAGGCAGTGCAGTGAGCCAGTAGAGGCTGCGCGACACTGTGCGGGCATTGGTTGCACGACTGCCCGCGGAAATAGATGGCATTGGTGGGAGGTGCGGCGAGGAGCCGGTGTGGTATGGGGAGGATGGGAGATTTTGGGAGGAGGATGTGGTAGGGTCAGGGAAGTGGAGCAGGCGGAGGAGGAGGAAGACGGTGGGGGGTGGGCTGGGAGGGGAGACGGGGAGGCGTGGGAGGTGCACCTGGGGGGATGGAGTAGAGGGGGGAAACGATGGGGAGGAAAGGCATGCGAGTAGGGCATGGGAAAGGGTGGGAAGGTTCAGAAATATGTCGGATGAAAGGTAAAAAGATAGAATATGAAAGATAACATTCCAGAGCGGACGGAGAAAGGCTTGCGGCTGGGATGGTTGTTGGCAGGGATGGGAGCGAGTGGGACTGATCCATGCCTGCATGACCGCATGTGTGCATGCTGGCAAGTGCAATAGGTTCTGTGCTAACACATCCATATGTGCCTGCAGCTGTGCTCCCTTGCATCCAACTCTCATTCCCCCACCTGCTGCCCTCACCCGAACCTGTCCTGCCCACACCTGAGCCCATGCTGTCCTCACCTGAAGCTGAGTCTCTGTGCATGAAAACGGCGGGCAGGCGAGTGAGTGGGGAGCAGGTGGGGGCGTGAAAGAGGCGGGGAGGGAGGAGGAGGCGTGCCACAGGCAGTGGCCGCTGGGAAGGTGGATGGAAGCTTCCACAGAGAGGGAGGAGAGAGCATGGGGTGTGGTGTTGACCACCTGATGGGCGGGAGAGGGGAGTGGGGGAACGGAGAGAGGAGGGGGAGACGGTTGGGATGGTCCAGGTGTGCGTGAATGGGCTCCTTCAAGGCATGTGCCAGGTGCAGGTTGAATTTATCTCCCAGGAAGGTCCAGGTGCAGGTTGAATGTATCTCCCAGGAAGGTCCAGGTGCTGTCCAGGTGCACTGAACGGGTTCCTTCAAGGCACATGGCATGCCCAAGACGGCTGACATTGGGCGGAACAGGAAGCAGCTGAACAGGAACAGGACATTGCCACAGTCACACAATCACCATACACCCCATGCACCCCCCACACCTGCATGTGCCCCGAGTGCAGGTGCTGCGGCACGTGAATAAAGTTCAGCGCACAGCACAGCGCACGCCGTACAGCCCGCAAACAGGTGGCAACTGACTGCTTACCGCAGTCAAACGACCACCACACATCTGCACGAGCACCACACATCTGCACGACCACCACACATCTGCACGAGCACCACACATCTGCACGACCACCACACATCTGCACTTGCCCCGAGTGCAGGTCCAACTGCACGTGAAGGGGCTGCACGGAACAGCACACAGCAAACACAGCTCCCATATGAGAATGCCCATAACAGGTGGCACTGATTGAAGCTGCTTGCCACAACCGCAGATGCACACACTCACCACACGGCACACAATCGCCACACCCACGTACCTGCACTTTGCCCGAGTGTAAGTCCAGCTGCACATGAATGGGCTCCAGGGCACAGCGCACGCCGAACAGCCCTCCAGTGGCGGCCAGCAGGTGGTCGTACAGCTGCCCGCGCAGCCCCCCCCAGGGGTTCTGCCCCTTCCACAGCAACACCCCTGTGTACCGCTCCCACATGCGCGCGCTCCATGCCTCAAACAGTGACCGGTACTGCAGGTAGTTGGCGAGCTGGGCCTGGTGGGGTGGAGGGGAGGGCAGGCGTTTTGGGACGTTTGAGATGTGTATAACCGGTGTATGTACGCACGCCACATGCACACGCCACAAGCCTTAAAGAGCGACCGGTACTGCAAGTAGTTGGCGATCTGGGCCTGGTGGGGTGGACATTCGTGGAGAGAGGGGTTTTGAGATGTGTCACGCATTGGCAGCACAGCAGCACCCTTGCGTGCCTCCACCCATAAAGCGTGCGCTCCATGCTTCGAAGAGGGAACGGTACTGCAAGAAGCTGGCGGGCTGGGCTGTTAAAAGAGTAAGCACAGTGAGGAGCCATAGCTAGGGTTTAGCTAGCTAGGTAAGAGAGAAATGAACAAAGGAGGAGCTTCACTAGCAGCAGTTGGGATACATATAGCAAACCCTAACTGGGTTGTACCCGCTATAGAGCACCTCACTACAGGCTAGATAATAACATTCTGACACACCCCCATAGCCAAAGTGGGGTGTAATCAGCAGAGCACGCAGTCATAGAGCAGGTTCACAAATGCAAGCAAAGCTAGAGGTAATCACAGCGGGCAAGTGAGGAGGAGGAGGAACTGTGGAAGGAGAGAAGATGGGAGGCAACGACTGAAGCTGCAGAGGCACGGGCACAGGAACGGCTGACTCAGTGGCTACCGAAGCAAAGGCGACGGACTATTGGAGTGACTGGCTCCGCGGCTAAGACGAGCGGCAGGAGCAACGGACCCACTAGCGACTGGTGGAACAGGCTCACTGTCTACCGAAGCAAGGGCGACGGACTACAGGCGCTGTAGGCGACACGACAGCTACCTCCACACAACCTCGTCCAACTGAGCCACACCCTTGACAAACACCCCCTGCTGAACCCCTAACTCCACTCCCACGTCACCCCCCCCTAGCACCACTCTTTCGGCTCCCACACACCCACCCCCTTGAGCGGCAGCTGCAGCAGCGGGAGACGGAGGAGGAGGAGCAGGGGACGGCCCACACAACCGGCACCCCCACAACCGTCACCCCCACACTCCCCACCCCCAAACCCTAAAACGGGTGGCACGGGGTAGGAGCACGGGGGACGACGAGGGGGACGGCGCGCGGCCCCCAGGGCGCCACCACGGGGCAGCGAGGGGCCGCGCGCGGCTCCTCAGGGCGCCGCGACGTGAAGGGCGGGGGCCGCGCGTGCTCCCCAGGGCGCCACCACGGGGCAGCGAGGGGCCGCGCGTGCTCCCCAGGGCGCCGCGACGAGCAGGGCAGGGGCCGCGCGCGGGTCCCCAAGGTAGGAAACCGCCGCGCGCCTCGGGGCGCACGGCGGGCAGAAAACCGCCGCGCGCCCCGAGCGCACGGCGGACAGAAAACCCGAAAAAAAATTCGGCAGGAAGAAGGAGTTGCACGCCACGGGGCGTGCAACAGACAGAGTAGCAGCGGAAGCAGTTAGGTGGGCCCACAGGCCAGGCGCGTAAATGCTCTGATACCATGTTAAAAGAGTAAGCACAGTGAGGAGCCATAGCTAGGGTTTAGCTAGCTAGGCAAGAGAGAAATGAACAAAGGAGGAGCTTCACTAGCAGCAGTTGGGATATATATAGCAAACCCTAGCTCGGTTGTACCTGTTATAGAGCACCCCACTACAGGCTAGATAATAACATTCTAACACACCCCCATAGCCAAAGTGGGGTGTAATCAGCAGAGCACGCAGTCATAGAGCAGGTTCACAAATGCAAGCAAAGCTAGAGGTAATCACAGCGGGCAAGTGAGGAAGAGGAGGAACTGTGGAAGGAGAGAAGATGGGAGGCAACGACTGAAGCTGCAGAGGCACGGGCACAGGAACGACTGACTCAGTGGCTACCGAAGCAAACGCGACGGACTATTGGAGTGACTGGCTCCGCGGCTAAGACGAGCGGCAGGAGCAACGGACCCACTAGCGACTGGTGGAACAGGCTCACTGGCTACCGAAGCAAGGGCGACGGACTACAGGCGCTGCAGGCGACACGACAGCTACCTCCACACAACCTCCTCCAACTGACCCACACCCTTGACACACACCCCCTGGTGAACCCCTAACTCCACTCCCACGTCACCCCCCTAGCACCACTCTTTCGGCTCCCACACACCCACCCCCCTGAGCGGCAGCTGCAGCAGCGGGAGACGGAGGAGGAGGAGGAGCAGGGGACGGCGCACACAACCGGCACCCCCACAACCGTCACCCCCACACTCCCCACCCCCAAACCCTAAAACGGGTGGCACGGGGTAGGAGCGCGGGGGACGACGAGGGGGACGGCGCGCGGCCCCCAGGGCGCCACCACGGGGCAGCGAGGGGCCGCGCGCGGCTCCTCAGGGCGCCGCGACGTGAAGGGCGAAGGCCGCGCGTGCTCCCCAGGGCGCCACCACGGGGCAGCGAGGGGCCGCGCGTGCTCCCCAGGGCGCCGCGACGAGCAGGGCAGGGGCCGCGCGCGGGTCCCCAAGGTAGGAAACCGCCGCGCGCCTCGGGGCGCACGGCGGGCAGAAAACCGCCGCGCGCCCCGAGCGCACGGCGGACAGAAAACCCGAAAAAAAAATTCGGCAGGAAGGAGTTGCACGCCACGGGGCGTGCAACAGACAGAGTAGCAGCGGAAGCAGTTAGGTGGGCCCAAAGGCCAGGAGCGTAAATGCTCTGATACCATGTTAAAAGAGTAAGCATAGTGAGGAGCCATAGCTAGGGTTTAGCTAGCTAGGCAAGAGAGAAATGAACTAAGGAGGAGCTTCACTAGCAGCAGTTGGGATAATAACATGCTAGATAATAACATTCTGACATGGGCCTGGCGGGGTGGATGGGGAGGCGAGGAGTTTAGAAACGTGCCAGACATCCACAGCGTCTTGAGACCATATGGCTGAATGGCTTATGGATGGCACATGGCACATGGCATGGCATATGGCACAAATTGGGGCGTGACTAGCTGGAATGAAGATGAGATGAGTCCTTGTGGAAGAATAATGCAAAGCACAACGGCTTGCCAGGCTGCAGACAAGATACTGGGAGGGATGGAGATAATGTTGCATCCTTGACCACCCCGCAGCATGGCTCCTCGCTCAGCTTGTGACTTTTGAGAATTCTCAAAAGTCACACGGACAAGATACTGGGAGGGATGGAGACAATGTTGCATCCTTGACCACCCCGCAGCATGACTCCTCACTCACCTTGGCACAGAAGTCATCGAGCCCATCCACAGGGCCATATGTAAGGACCTGTTCTTTTATTAGTCGACTAAAAGATTGGGCCATACGTGAAGTGAGGATCTGGTTCTTCACTCGTACCGACCCCCTCTTCCACTTCCCTTGCACCCACTCCCACTCGCACGCGCCCCTGCCCACTCCCACGCGCCCCTGCCCACTCACACGCGCCCCTGCCCACTCCCACGCGCCCCTGCCCACTCCCACGCGTCCCTGCCTACTCCCACGCGCCTCTGCCCACTCGCACTGACCCCCTCTTCCACTTCCCTTGCACCCACCCCCGCTTACATGCGGCCCTGTACCAGTGCACTCACTTTGGCACAGAAGTCATCAAGTCCCTCCACGGGCCCATACGTGAGGATCTGGTTCTTCACTCGCACCGACCCCCTCTTCCATTTCACCCTCCCTTCTGCTGCCTCCTGCATCCTCGCTTCCTCTCCTTCTCCCCCCTGCTCCAATCCAATAACAACTCCTTGCTGCAGCACACCTGCTTGCTGTTGCCTGCCTGCTTGCCGTCTCGCCCCTCCTCCACCCACCTCGCCCCCACCATCTGACTCCACTCCCACCATGCCATACGGTATGTACGTATGCACCTTCCACCCCTCACTCTCCTCCTCCACACACTCCCCTCCACACTCCTCCCACGCCCTCCCAAACACCGGCGGGCTCCAATCACTCTCGGGAAAAAACTCGCGCAAGCTTTCTGCCTCGGGCACCCCAACGGACCCGATCTCGGGGTTAAACGCGTACGGGTAGTAATCCGGGCAGAAGAAATCTTCAGGGTTCTGGATGCCGTAAGGCCCGTCCGTCCAGCCTCCCTTGCTGTCGGCAAAGCCACCCCATAGGGAGCCCTCTATGTACGCCCTTGTGCCGTCCAGCAGTAGTGAGGGGTCCTGATCTGATTCAGCTGGGGAAGGAGGGATGGGGGGTTGGGTAGAAGGGGAGGCAGGGGAGGGTGATCCTGCCACCCTGGCTGTCGGCAAAGCTGCCGCTCCATAGGGAGCCCTCTATGTATGCCCTTGTGCCGTCCAGCAGTAGTGACGGGTCTGGGTCTGACTTAGCTGTGAGAGGAGGGATGGAGGTGGGGAGAAAGGGGGGAGAAGGGGGGTGATGAACAAATAGAGGAGTTGGATAACACAACAGAGAAACGGGTCCACGAAGACTCGGAGGCAAAGTGCAGTCGAAATGTTGGGGTTTCCGGATGCTGAATGGAGACCAATCACCCAATGCACCAAACACACCATCCCACACCACTCCACACACCAGCCCACACAGCCCCACACAGCCCGACACCATCCCACACCATCCCAAACAACCCCACACACCATCCCATGCACCTTTATAAAAGCGCAGCATGCTCTTGAGCGAGTCATTGAGGTCAGCAGCGGGCACGGTCTCGTTGCCGCCCACCCAGAGCGCCAGGCTGGCATGGTTGCGCAGCATGCGGACGCTGTCTTGTGCACAGGAGAGGAAGAGGCGGTGGTCCAGCGGCCAGGAGGGGTCTGACGGGGGCAGGCCGCGGCCGTTGCAGTCGCCCGTGATCCAAAACTCCTGCCACACCTGTGTGCAAGGGAATAGTAGAATAGGTGTTCATGTTTGGTCATGCTTGTTTCGATTCACAAGACACCAAGTGGGGCAGACCCTGGCCCGGCCGCTGCAGATGCCTGCCGTCATCCAACAAACCCGCCACACCCATGAAGGATGTTGCGACATAGAGCAATGTGAGCAAGAACATCATGAGCACTCTTGAACAGCATAAATAGAACCTTCGCGGCGACATAGAACCGAGCGAGAACAGGTTACACCGTTTCAATTCAAGTCTTGAAGATCCCGCGGCTCGTGATGCCAAGGGAATGCATGGCAGTAGAGTAGATGCATGTACCAATCCGAAAGCCATAGAACAGAAACAACTGTGGAGAGAACTCGAGCCCTCTCTGGCGGTCAGAGAGGGCTCGAGACCTTCAGACATGCCTCAAGGTCTTCTTGACAGATAACTGTTACACTGGATTATTCAAGTCACTATTGAAGAATTTCAAAAGCAACCTGTATGCCATTCCCAAGACGCCAGGCCAGCAATCCCAAATTCCCAGTGAATGAATGTTATAGAGCTTTCAAAGCCCAAGAAAGCCCTCATTTCAATCAACCCCCATGCTGACCAGCCCCCACCCCTCGCTAAACCCCACCCCACCCCAACCCCAACCACTCACCATAATCCCCACCCATTCACAGGCGTCATAAAACTTAGGCCGTTCCATGAGTGCCCCCCGCCCACCCACTCATCCCGCCCACTCCCACTCCCACCCCACCCCAAGCCCCACCCCTCACCAGAATCCCGAGGCGGTCGCAGGCATCGTAAAACTCAGGCCGTTCCATGAGAGCCCCCGCCCCACTCCAACTCCAACTACCGCCCCACCCCAAGCTCACCCCACTCCAAGCTCACCCTACTCCAAGCTCACCCTCCTCCAAGCCTATGATGGATTTGACCCCAAAAACTGAAAATGTCAAGGGTCAAAACGCCACGTTTTGACTCTTGACGCGTCAATCCGTTTTGACGCTTGACGCTACTGGTAAAAATTTTCGGGCAGCTTGATTTTGAAAAAAAAAAACAAGAAAAAAAATATACAAAATCGAAATTCCGCGCTCAAAACGCGCCCTGCCAAATAGAACTCGACATCTTGAAACCCCAAAACAGGCCCCAACCAAACCAACACCTGAACCACCCTTCACCCCTTTGAAACTACTCAACCCGACCCATCCCCTAGTACTTCACCACAATTCTCCTTTGGAAACCCCTTCCATGACTGCCCCACATGTCCTACAACTCCTGCCCCCCCCCCCCAACCTCTCTTACTAGCCCCACTGTTCCCAGTTTTTTTTCCCCTTCCCGGGATGTTTTCTTGTCTGCCCGCCCGAGCGTCAAACTGGGGGTACCCCTCAGACAGGGGGCGTCAATAGCGTCAAAACGCTAGCGTTTTGACTCAGAGTCAAAACGCTGAGCGTGTCAAATCCATCATAGCTCCAAGCTCACCCTCCTCCAAGCTCACCCCCCTCCAAGCTCACCCCCCTCCAAGCTCACCCCCAAACCCTCACCAGGATCCCCAGCTGGTCACAGGCGTTGTAGAACTCAGGCCGTTCCATGAGAGCCCCCGCCCACACGCGAATCATGTTCACCCGAGCACACGCGAAAAGTTTCATCTCTGCCCAGTAGCGCTCCGCTGAGAGGCGCAGCATCGCGTCCGAGACGATCCAATTGGTCCCGCGTATGAAGAGCGGGCAGCCGTTGATGAAAAATACCCTGGTACACGACAAGAGCACATACAGAGCATGTGGACGGACATAGATGGGAGGGAAGCACAAAAGCATGGGCAACCGTTGATGAAAGAAAACCTGGTACACGACAAGAGCAGATACAGTGCATGTGGACATAGATGGGGAAGCACAAAAGAGCGGGCAGTCGTTGATGTGAAAAACCCTGGTACACGAGCAGATACAGAATATGTGGCCACGGATGGCGGAGGGGGAGCAGGCAGGCAGTGATGGGGGAGGGGGAGCAGGCAGGCAGTGATGGGGGAGGGGGAGCAGGCAGGCAGTGATGGGGGAGCAGTCTGTGAAGGGAGCCGAGGCATACGGATCATGGGCATGGGATGGGATGGATGGAGGGGTATGAGCGAGACATGCGCTACGCGAACAAGAGAAGAGGGAAGGATGCAATAGATAGAAAGGAAGAGGGAAGGCGGGAAGAGGAAAGGGGGGAGGAGGGGGGAGAGGGGAGGAAAGGAGAGCAAGCAGAGTACGACGCGAGGAGAAAGGATGAGCAAGAAGAGGGAAGGAAAGGATGAGCAAGAAGAGGGAAGGAAAGGATGAGCAAGAAGAGGGAAGGAAAGGATGAGCAAGAAGAGGGAAGGAAAGGATGAGCAAGAAGAGGGAAGGAAAGGATGAGCAAGAAGAGGGAAGGAAAGGATGAGCAAGAAGAGGGAAGGAAAGGATGAGCAAGAAGAGGGAAGGAAAGGATGAGCAAGAAGAGGGAAGGAAAGGATGAGCAAGAAGAGGGAAGGAAAGGATGAGCAAGAAGAGGGAAGGAAAGGATGAGCAAGAAGAGGGAAGGAAAGGATGAGCAAGAAGAGGGAAGGAAAGGATGAGCAAGAAGAGGGAAGGAAAGGATGAGCAAGAAGAGGGAAGGAAAGGATGAGCAAGAAGAGGGAAGGAAAGGATGAGCAAGAAGAGGGAAGGAAAGGATGAGCAAGAAGAGGGAAGGAAAGGATGAGCAAGAAGAGGGAAGGAAAGGATGAGCAAGAAGAGGGAAGGAAAGGATGAGCAAGAAGAGGGAAGGAAAGGATGAGCAAGAAGAGGGAAGGAAAGGATGAGCAAGAAGAGGGAAGGAAAGGATGAGCAAGAAGAGGGAAGGAAAGGATGAGCAAGAAGAGGGAAGGAAAGGATGAGCAAGAAGAGGGAAGGAAAGGATGAGCAAGAAGAGGGAAGGAAAGGATGAGCAAGAAGAGGGAAGGAAAGGATGAGCAAGAAGAGGGAAGGAAAGGATGAGCAAGAAGAGGGAAGGAAAGGATGAGCAAGAAGAGGGAAGGAAAGGATGAGCAAGAAGAGGGAAGGAAAGGATGAGCAAGAAGAGGGAAGGAAAGGATGAGCAAGAAGAGGGAAGGAAAGGATGAGCAAGAAGAGGGAAGGAAAGGATGAGCAAGAAGAGGGAAGGAAAGGATGAGCAAGAAGAGGGAAGGAAAGGATGAGCAAGAAGAGGGAAGGAAAGGATGAGCAAGAAGAGGGAAGGAAAGGATGAGCAAGAAGAGGGAAGGAAAGGATGAGCAAGAAGAGGGAAGGAAAGGATGAGCAAGAAGAGGGAAGGAAAGGATGAGCAAGAAGAGGGAAGGAAAGGATGAGCAAGAAGAGGGAAGGAAAGGATGAGCAAGAAGAGGGAAGGAAAGGATGAGCAAGAAGAGGGAAGGAAAGGATGAGCAAGAAGAGGGAAGGAAAGGATGAGCAAGAAGAGGGAAGGAAAGGATGAGCAAGAAGAGGGAAGGAAAGGATGAGCAAGAAGAGGGAAGGAAAGGATGAGCAAGAAGAGGGAAGGAAAGGATGAGCAAGAAGAGGGAAGGAAAGGATGAGCAAGAAGAGGGAAGGAAAGGATGAGCAAGAAGAGGGAAGGAAAGGATGAGCAAGAAGAGGGAAGGAAAGGATGAGCAAGAAGAGGGAAGGAAAGGATGAGCAAGAAGAGGGAAGGAAAGGATGAGCAAGAAGAGGGAAGGAAAGGATGAGCAAGAAGAGGGAAGGAAAGGATGAGCAAGAAGAGGGAAGGAAAGGATGAGCAAGAAGAGGGAAGGAAAGGATGAGCAAGAAGAGGGAAGGAAAGGATGAGCAAGAAGAGGGAAGGAAAGGATGAGCAAGAAGAGGGAAGGAAAGGATGAGCAAGAAGAGGGAAGGAAAGGATGAGCAAGAAGAGGGAAGGAAAGGATGAGCAAGAAGAGGGAAGGAAAGGATGAGCAAGAAGAGGGAAGGAAAGGATGAGCAAGAAGAGGGAAGGAAAGGATGAGCAAGAAGAGGGAAGGAAAGGATGAGCAAGAAGAGGGAAGGAAAGGATGAGCAAGAAGAGGGAAGGAAAGGATGAGCAAGAAGAGGGAAGGAAAGGATGAGCAAGAAGAGGGAAGGAAAGGATGAGCAAGAAGAGGGAAGGAAAGGATGAGCAAGAAGAGGGAAGGAAAGGATGAGCAAGAAGAGGGAAGGAAAGGATGAGCAAGAAGAGGGAAGGAAAGGATGAGCAAGAAGAGGGAAGGAAAGGATGAGCAAGAAGAGGGAAGGAAAGGATGAGCAAGAAGAGGGAAGGAAAGGATGAGCAAGAAGAGGGAAGGAAAGGATGAGCAAGAAGAGGGAAGGAAAGGATGAGCAAGAAGAGGGAAGGAAAGGATGAGCAAGAAGAGGGAAGGAAAGGATGAGCAAGAAGAGGGAAGGAAAGGATGAGCAAGAAGAGGGAAGGAAAGGATGAGCAAGAAGAGGGAAGGAAAGGATGAGCAAGAAGAGGGAAGGAAAGGATGAGCAAGAAGAGGGAAGGAAAGGATGAGCAAGAAGAGGGAAGGAAAGGATGAGCAAGAAGAGGGAAGGAAAGGATGAGCAAGAAGAGGGAAGGAAAGGATGAGCAAGAAGAGGGAAGGAAAGGATGAGCAAGAAGAGGGAAGGAAAGGATGAGCAAGAAGAGGGAAGGAAAGGATGAGCAAGAAGAGGGAAGGAAAGGATGAGCAAGAAGAGGGAAGGAAAGGATGAGCAAGAAGAGGGAAGGAAAGGATGAGCAAGAAGAGGGAAGGAAAGGATGAGCAAGAAGAGGGAAGGAAAGGATGAGCAAGAAGAGGGAAGGAAAGGATGAGCAAGAAGAGGGAAGGAAAGGATGAGCAAGAAGAGGGAAGGAAAGGATGAGCAAGAAGAGGGAAGGAAAGGATGAGCAAGAAGAGGGAAGGAAAGGATGAGCAAGAAGAGGGAAGGAAAGGATGAGCAAGAAGAGGGAAGGAAAGGATGAGCAAGAAGAGGGAAGGAAAGGATGAGCAAGAAGAGGGAAGGAAAGGATGAGCAAGAAGAGGGAAGGAAAGGATGAGCAAGAAGAGGGAAGGAAAGGATGAGCAAGAAGAGGGAAGGAAAGGATGAGCAAGAAGAGGGAAGGAAAGGATGAGCAAGAAGAGGGAAGGAAAGGATGAGCAAGAAGAGGGAAGGAAAGGATGAGCAAGAAGAGGGAAGGAAAGGATGAGCAAGAAGAGGGAAGGAAAGGATGAGCAAGAAGAGGGAAGGAAAGGATGAGCAAGAAGAGGGAAGGAAAGGATGAGCAAGAAGAGGGAAGGAAAGGATGAGCAAGAAGAGGGAAGGAAAGGATGAGCAAGAAGAGGGAAGGAAAGGATGAGCAAGAAGAGGGAAGGAAAGGATGAGCAAGAAGAGGGAAGGAAAGGATGAGCAAGAAGAGGGAAGGAAAGGATGAGCAAGAAGAGGGAAGGAAAGGATGAGCAAGAAGAGGGAAGGAAAGGATGAGCAAGAAGAGGGAAGGAAAGGATGAGCAAGAAGAGGGAAGGAAAGGATGAGCAAGAAGAGGGAAGGAAAGGATGAGCAAGAAGAGGGAAGGAAAGGATGAGCAAGAAGAGGGAAGGAAAGGATGAGCAAGAAGAGGGAAGGAAAGGATGAGCAAGAAGAGGGAAGGAAAGGATGAGCAAGAAGAGGGAAGGAAAGGATGAGCAAGAAGAGGGAAGGAAAGGATGAGCAAGAAGAGGGAAGGAAAGGATGAGCAAGAAGAGGGAAGGAAAGGATGAGCAAGAAGAGGGAAGGAAAGGATGAGCAAGAAGAGGGAAGGAAAGGATGAGCAAGAAGAGGGAAGGAAAGGATGAGCAAGAAGAGGGAAGGAAAGGATGAGCAAGAAGAGGGAAGGAAAGGATGAGCAAGAAGAGGGAAGGAAAGGATGAGCAAGAAGAGGGAAGGAAAGGACAAGCGTGTGGAAGAGAAAGGCAACAGCGCACGTACCTGGAACCAGAGCCCTCAACTCACCTCAAAAGCGGAACCAGAGCCCTCAACTCACCTCAGCACCCATCAATCCACGTACCTGCCGCCACTGCCCTCTTCCACATAGCTGTCAATCTGTCGGAACCCAAACTTGCTGCCCCACACGTCACTCTGTATCCACCCCCCCTCCCCTTGCTCTCTACCCTCCCCCTTCTCCACATCCCCATCCCTGCCATACAAGGCCGAGCTGACAAAACTTTTCGCCTGCCCGAGACTGTGAGTCAGCGTGTGAGAGAGAATCCGGCTCCAGGATGCAGAGGCAGGCGCGGGGGGTTGTGGCGAGGAAGAGTCAGGTGAGGAGTGGGAAGGTGAGGAGAGATGTGGATAGGAGGTTGGTAGGGAAGTGGGTGAGGCTGACGACAACAGGTCATCCACTGCCACTGTGGCTTTCCCAGTGGGGTGGCAGGATGCGAGGCAGGAGGGGTGCAGCACAGAGGCGGTGATTGCCACATCGTACAGCGACGGTGCACCCATGCCATTGGGCCACCACAGGTGGGGGCGGGACACGAGTAGCTGCAAGGGAGGGGGGAGGGAACGGAGGGATAGAGCAGGACTTGCGATTGCAAGGGTGGGGGGAACAGCACACAGACCGTGATGGCAACGCCCCCACGTGTGATGAGGACGAGCAATGTGTAGCTGCAAGGGGAGGGGAGGGAAAGGGGGGGGGAGAGCATGGTGGCAGCAGAGACTGCCGGCCGGCGATGGGACGCAGAGGGGAAGAGAAGGAGGCGTTAGAGACGGGGGGGGGGGGGGAATGAGCAGGAGGGGCAGGAACGAGCTACGAAGGGACACAGCGGATCCATGCCATGCCACAGGGCCTTTGGGATGCAGTGGGGCGGACAGACGTGAGATTCTTGATCTCACTTCAAGTTGCAGTGGGAATCGGTCGTGGGAGTGTTGAGTGCGAGTGAGTGAGAGACACAGTGGGATACAGAGTTGAGGTCATGGCCATACGCGCTCACGTTACAACAACACCATGTGTGAGTTGTGTGTGTTATCTGATTCGCACCGGCTGGAATGTGTGAGTGATGCTGCTGTTGCCCGGTACCTCCACCTCCTCCTCCCTCACTCCCTCCACCATCACAAACCCCTCCCCTTCCCCCTCCTCCTCCTCCCACACCCCCTCCCCGCTCACCCTCCCCCCTTCCCCACCCCCCCATCCCCTCGCCCCTCCCCGTCCAAGCGCCCCTCCACCGCCCCTCTGGTGTGGGCCGGGAGTGAAGGCAAGCTCGAGAGACACGCGCGTGCGGAGGGGGATGGGAAGGGAGTTGGTGAGGGTGAGGGAGCAGTGGAGAGACGCGGCAGAGGGGCAGAAGGGAGGGGCGGGAGGGGCGGGAGTGGAGGAGGAGGAAGGAGGAGGCGCGTGTGTGTGGGTGTTGCAGGGAAGAACTGATGGATGGGTGACATCATCCTTTGCACTGGCTCCATCTGCATGCTCCCTCTTCGCTCCATCTGCTTGCGTGTCATTGCAGCGTTGGGACGCGAAGACAGCCACGAGATGAGGGTCCCCGATGGTCACGGGCTGCCATGCATACACCATGCACAGGGGGGGAGGAGAGGCGAAAGGCAGGCTTACGAGTCGAGTCAAAAGACGACCGCCACCACATGAGAGTGACCATTGGCCGAGTCTTGTTTTTTGAGAATTCTCAAGAAACAGATTCGGGATGCTACCCACGCATGCATGGAAGCGAGGGGGGAAGGTGGCGATTGATTCAACTAAGAAAACGGCCACCGGGTGAGGGACACTAATGGCCACGGGCTGCCATGCATTCACGCATGGTCAGGATGGGAAAGAGAGGAAACAGCATGCCCGGGAAATGTGCAAGTATCATGTTAAGGAAGGTAGTAGATGCCTTCCTTTTCTCCCACAAGCACAAACAATCCCATGTCCACCCCTCCTCACTCACCCCTGTGACAGCCACGTGCACTTGATCCCACATGCCCGTGTTGCGATCCCTGCCACCCCACACAGAGAAACAAGGCAGCAAGCAGGCTTGTAGAAAGCAGAGCAAGCGGCGATGGCCGGAAGGAAGCGCTGAGGGGGACAGTGAAGAGCGTCAGGCTGGAATGTGGGAGACGCGGGAAGGACTGGTAGCCATGATTGAAGAAATTCACAGGTGCATAACCCATCAAGTGTGTATACACGAACACCAACGAGGAAGTGCAATGCGGATTCAGAAAGAGAGATGGGTACCGGATGGGAATGATCCAATCCCAGCCCTCCACGTATTGAGCTGTGACATCCTTGGCCACCTGCATGCGTGGGGCATAGCAAGGCACATAAAGCATGCCAAATGGCGTTAATAGAAAGGCAATTGGCATGCATCCAATTGGCATGCGTCACACACATACGGTCATGCATGCACGAGGCTGTACCTGGTGGTCGCCGCCCTGCCCTCCCCCATCCACGTTCCCCGGGTGGTCCACTGGATTAACCACCACTGCCAACTGGTTCCTGCTCTCGCTGCTGCCACACCTGTTACACCCACATTCACTGCTACATCCCTTGCTCCTATTGCTACAGATTTTACTGCAATGGCTCTCGCCAATGTCTCCCCTTCTGGCCAGGTCAGTGATGTCCAGCTGGCGCCGCAGGAACATGCCAGCTGGCTGGTCGATGCTGAGTTGGCGGCCGTTAAGGAAGACGGAGAGTGAGTAGTTGACGCCACGGAAGCACAGCCACACTCGCTCCCACTCATGACTCTCACACCCACACCCAGCACACCCACTACAGCCATCCCGGCCACAGCACCCCTTATCACCAGCAACAGCAGCACCACCAGCAGTAGCAGCAGCTACAGACGAGCAGGACGGCTGGCAGTGCAGCAGAGCCTGAGAGGATGAATTAGCGGCAGGCAGGTGGAAGCAGCGGCGGAAGAGGAAGGTGTAGAAGGGGCGGCCGGCGTGGGCGATGTCAGGAATGCAGTCGCGCGTGTTGGTGCCGAAGAGAGGGTCCGGAAAGACCCCGTTTGCCACCAGGCTTGTGAGCACTCTGTGGGGAAGAGAGTGAGAGGAAGGAGAAGGGGTTGGGCACCGGTGTGGGCGATGTCAGGGATGCAGTCGCGTGTGTCGGTGCCGTACAGGGTGTCAGGGAAGACCCCTTTCGCCACCAGGCTCGTTAGCACTCTGAGGGGAAGAGAGTGAGAAGAAGGTGGGGGAGGGGAAGGCACAGGTTGGTGATTTTGAGAGTGCGAGGGAAGGGAGGCACGAGGGAAGGTCAGAGTAGAGGGGAAGCACGGTTCGATAGTTCTCAGAATACTTTGACACCACGACGGGGAGGCAGGAGGAGGGATGAGAGTGAGAAGCACAAGAGACTCAAGAGCAAGCGAATTCAATAACAGAGGGACTCAAGATCAGCAGATATTTGGAAGAGGAAGGGCGTTGTGGACGGTGAATGGTGTGATGCAACGACAGGAGGCTCGAAAGGACAACATATGACACCACATGAGATTTTATTAGAATACGGTGCTACAAACGGTGTAAACGGTGCTACAGACGGTCTACAAGGACACGACATGGCCGTTTCCGGTGACACTCTTCCCGTACGGTCCCTGCAAGCACGAAGCCTTCACCACCGGCCATCCTGGAAACGTACGTTCCTGGAACAACGGCCGGCATCCAGCCATCCTCGTTACAGTTCCACTCGCTGTCCACGCCGTCACTCTGCCCATATGTTGATGAATTTCCTTCAGTATATAACGAATTTCGGGCTCCTCTAGAATCGCTTGTTTGTGGTAACTGGGTAAGCTGTTCGCCACTGACACCAACCTCTGACGCTCTTTTCATCCGCCACTCAGAGTGCAACAGCTGGCACCAGGGCAGCGAACCCGAATCGTCTCCCGTGGGTGCCATGGTCGATAGCTTGGCCCAACGGAAACCGGGGATGAGGTACGATTTGCAGTTCTAGTCACAAATCCGCCATTCCATGTTTGCCAGGTTAGTTGCCAGTGGGGAGTTATGCAGCATGGCAACCCAACAGATGCACTTGCACATATGCCTTGCAGCGCAATTCACCGCATGCTTGTTTTTGAATGACTCGATACCGTAAAAACAAATGTGATAACAGTCGAATTTGCATGTGAGAAGTAAGGTGTACATGTTGCGACCTTGAAATCATCTCATCAGCCCCACATTCAACTTTGTCAAGCAACATCTCGCACATTCGCATGACGATTCGCCAACGTCGCAAACGCCTCGCTCGTGCCAGGCATGCAACCTTTTCCTCCATCCCGCCCTAATTTCTCGGAGTTCCCGCCAAAACGACCCTCGGCCAGCCATTTTCAGGCATTGCTGCTCTGAACTGAAATGCCCCCAAGCCTCAAACACACCACGCCACTGTTCTAGACCAGAGACATTCTCGATATTGCACTTCGCAGAAGCCAGCTTACGCATCCGCAGTGGCTGTACTGTAGTAGGTCACAGCGTAGGTGCGTGCGGAGCCGCTCGTGAGCGTCACACTGGTCCCCGTGCCTCTCTCAGCGGTTTGGTCCGAGCCGGCCCATGGAGGAGGTCCAGGTTCGCGAGTTCGTGGAGGTGGCCGCTCCTACCGCCGACGAAGCCGCGGATCCCGTGATTACCGGCGCGAGCTTCGGCGCTATCGGCGCCGCAATAACCGGCGCGGCGAAGAAGGACGAGCCTAAGAAAGGCCTGCTTCCGCTGCTGATTCCAGTCGCCGTCGTAGCCGCCGGGGTGTTCGCCATTGTCAGTGTTATCAAGGGTAGCAAGAAAAAGAGCAAAGGTGACGCCACTGATGGCACCACGTATAAGGCATCGCCGCTTGTCGCGGCGACCGAGGAAACTGTCACTGTTAGTGGTGCTGACGCGGTTAAATCCGTTGTTGCTGCCGCTGACCGTTACGTTCCTGCGTCGCCCGGATCCGATGCGTTTCACGACGCCACGTGGGAGCTGACGGCGGACGACGACGACGACGCGCCGAGCGGGATTTCCGGCGCGAAACCCGGCGAGGGCGCCATGGTGGCGCGAATCCTGGGAAACTCCGCGGCGAGCGCGGAGGTGGCGGAAGACGCGGAGGAGGGGAAAGCGGAGGAGGCGGAGGAGGGGGAGAAGGCGGAGGAGGCGGAGAAGGGGGAAGGAGAGGGGGAGGAAGGCGAGAAGGAAGATGAAGAGGATGACGAAGAGGAGGACGAAGAGGATGGAGAAGCAATGGTTTCGTCGCTGCTGCAAAAGGCACGTGACGCGAGCTCCAATGTCAACGACATGGCCGCCAGAAGCCTCACCTGATCTGGCCTGAGCGGAAGGGAGAGGCTTCTGACTCTTGAGGCTCGTGCCTGGGAGGCACCTAGCTCAGGGTGCTCTAAGAAGCAATATCGGGGCCAGGAGCTTGGGCTAGACGGTGATTTCTTTTCTTTGTTGCCCCCTCCTCTCTCACATTGCCAGAAGCTACGGTATTGCACATTGTCCGTCCAGCACCCATCCATCCATCACTGCACTCTCCCTTGTCCTCAGCCCCCCATATGTCATCAGTCTCCCCTATCCTTTCTCCAGCTGCTTTACCTATGGCCTTTAGATAACAGGTTTCAGCAGCAACATGCATTATATTATACAGTTTAGGTTAGGTCAGGTGTGTATGTATACGCGTTCATGGTTTGGGCTTCCTAGTAGTGTAATTATCTGTATTGTCAGAGCTGCAAGCTTTGTAAACCCTGGCAGATGACTGCCGCCGGATAGTACCTGATCGCATGCTGAGGAGAGGCCTCGATTAGCAATAAGGTTTTGCTCATTTCACTTCACTGCTTGCATAAGTGCCAAGCCAAGTGCACTGGATCTGGTCACGAATCATGTGTGCATCACAATGCAAGCCACAACAAGTCATGCATATCACGACGAGTCACGGGTGAGCAGCAGGCGGCCAGAGAAGAGTCTGCGACTCAAGCGCAAGCCAGTGCAGGAGGCACCCGTGTGGACGCCTCCCACATTCCCTCCACCACCAGGGGATTGACAGCTGTCAGCATCACTCTCCACGTCACTGCAAACACCCATGACGTCCCTAGCAGCAGCAGCAGCAGGACAGGAGGCAGCAGCAGCAGCAGCAACAGCAGCAGCAGGACAGGAGGCAGCAGCAGCAGCAGCAGAGGAGGCAGCAGAGGCTGTTGTTGTTTGCTCCGCAGCCTGTCCTTCCATTCCTGCCCCCACCCCAACCCTTACCCTCACCCGAACCCCCACCTCTCCTGCCCCTGCACCTACCCCGGGTCCTGCCTCTGTGTTATCAGAGAAGGAGCGCTCAAACCCAGCAGCACTGTGGAAAGCGAGTGCTCGCACTGACCCTTCCTCCTCCCCTGCTCTGCAGGGTAGCTCCTGACATGCGCCCAAGCTGCCACTCCTCCTGTGCCGCACCTGCCTCCTCCGCTGCCTCCACCCCTCCTCCTGCTGCTCCTCCTCCTGCTCTACTGCCTGCTGCTTCTGTTGTTGCTGCTGCTCTCCTTCCACCTGCGCTTGCTGCTGCTGTTGCTCACCTACCTGCTGCTGCTGCGGCTGTTCTTGCTGTGGCTGCAGCTGATTCAGCGGAATTCTTGCACTTCTTGTTCCTTCTGCGTGCACGGAAGTACAGCCAGCGCTGTCACCCCTGCTGGCATTCAAACGGCAATTCTCTCGGTTTGGTTGCTCCAATGGAGGCTGCTGAGACTGTTGCAGATCAGTCCGAGATTGCAGCGGGCCAGACCGAGGCTGTAGCACATCCGACCGGGGCTGTAACAGACCAGCCCAGGGCTGTAGCGGACCGAATTGAGGCTCTAACAGCCCATGTCGAGGCTGTAGCGGGCCAGAGCGAGGCTGCAGCGGACCAGATGCGACCCTACGCGCCTGTAGAGGCCCCTTGAGGCGAGCATGAGACCCTTGAGGCATCTGTACCTCTCCCTCCCCCGTCCATCCCAATGGAGAATTGCCATTGCTGTGCGACCCTCCCCCACTCACTGTGCTGCTCTGGTGAATCGACTCTTGAGGCATCCGTACCTCCCGCGTCCATCGCAGGGGGGACCGGTCTTGACAGTGGGAGATCCCGCTCACTGTGCTGCTCTTGCACATTCGAGGAGGAGCTGCTCGCTCTCTCCACTGGGACGTGACGTAATGCGAATCAGAAGAGATTTTCTTCGGTACAAACCGCCCAGGTGATGCACCAGCCGCTGCAACAGCAGCCAGAGCAGCAGCAGGAGGAGCAACAGAGTGGGCAGCAGCATCGCGCAGGCCTGCCAGGTATCCCATGGCAAAGGCCTCTCGCACCCTCTCCTCCATCACTTGCTGCCACCTCTCAGGTGCATTCCCAGGTGGTGCCTTGAACCGGAAACTCACCTGCTCGAATGCACCCTCCCCAAATGGACCCTGCCCAGGCCAGCCCTGGCCAGGTGGGGCCAGGCAGGGCTGGCAAGGCGGTTGCTCCTCATGCGGGGGAGGTTGAAGGCGGTGGGGTGATTCAGAGAGCGAGGCAGAAGCAGCTGGGTCGTCACTGGCACCTTGTTGTGGTGGTGGGCCAGGCTGGCAGGGCTTGAAGTGTGGGTTCAAGCGAGAGCCTAGTGGGTTGAGCACCCGTGCTTCCTGCTGCACGCCCGGACTCGTTCTGCCTCTGCTTGACTGCGTGCCTGCGATTCGCTCTCCTTCCCCGCAATCATAACCAAACCCTGTTGGTGTGCATGAGGGCTGCTGGGCTGTGAGCGCGTTTAACGGCTGCTGGTCCGATAGTGAGTAGGTGGGCTGCAGCACCCCTGAGGAGCACCGGCGGTGGCGAGATGCTGGGCGGGATGAGGGCGACTGGGGGGATGGTGATGGGAAGGAGAAGGCTGGTGGAGGAGAGGAGGGGAGAGAGGAGGGCGGTGGTGGGGAAGCGGACAAGCTCATAACTGCTGATTGAAACTCCTCTGCTCGTGAGCGAGTTCGACTGTGCCACGTGGCAAAGAGGCTCAGCTTGCCCCTCCGCTCCTGCTGACCCCGCACCTGAGAGAGCTCTCCTTCCTGCCATGCAGATCCCTCACTGTAGTTGTTTCTATTCTCCACGTCCACCTGCTGCAACTGCTGCTGCTGCTGCTGCAACTGCTGTTGCTGGTGCTCCTGCATGCACGCGCCCTCCCACTGCGCGCCACTGCTGCCTGCCAGCTGGCCAGCAGGTAAGCTGCCTTGCGTAAACCATTGCTCTTCTGTCCCTTGATCTCTTTCCGTCCTTTCCACCCTTTCCACCCGCTCCCTCTGCGTCCTGTCTGCCCTCTCAGTCTGTTCAACAAGGCAGTAGTCCGTAGGGCATGACTGCTGCCGCCTGTGCGACTTCCTTGCGTGCTTTACTCCCTCCTTTAATCCTCCTCCTCCCTCCTTAGGCTCACTGCGCTGAGGAAGAAGCTCGATCTCCACCTCGTGATCTGGACCGTTGGATCTTTCCACGTCCCTGCTGGGCTGCCAGCCTAGACCGTACATGACAACACCGTCCGCGTCCTTCCCTCGTCGCCTCCTGCTCCCATGGAGGCCATGGTTGTCGGCTTCGGTGTCGCTCTCAGGGATGTGCGTGAGATCGATGGATGTGATCCGACGGTCCTCTTTCTCCATCCGCTCGCACTGCGCCTTCAACTCTGCCGTGAAGCACGCGGGAAAACGAAAGACAGAGAGAAAGAGAGATTAAACAAAGTCACTGACACGCGGGTACGTTCATGTCAACCGAGCTACCAAACAAACAACGTCCGCTGAACTCATTTCACACAATGGTTTGATATGTAGTCACGCCGAGGAATATGCACGAGAGAAAAAGAGGCCTTCTTTTGTATATTACAACCAATCAGAGATAAGATACAAAAATCATGTGATAACGCACCTGCCCAGCCTGGCGAGGGAGGATCTTTAGAAATTTCCGGATCGCCGACTACCTTCAGCGCACGAGCAGTCTTCTTGCTGCTTTTAGCGGGGACAATCAGGAGCTCCTGATTGGCCGGCGCATCAAGCGTCAGCTCGTAAAGCCGGCTTGTCAATACGCCGGAGCGCGAGGGTTGAGGGGAATCGAAACGCCGTCCTGACCAGGAGAAGGGAGAGGATTCAAACGGTAGTCCCGACCATGACCGTTGGTGGCGACTTCTTCTTGCGAAGCTCCTTGCGGGACTTCCGGTGGGACTCACGGCCTCCGCTCCCGTAACTACTCGCCGCATTGGACCGGAGAACGCGCTCGCTGATTCGTTACTCCGTGATTCGGCCATTCTGCGTCGATTGGATTAGTGGTAGTCGGGTTACCCTGTTTGCTGAAGCTTCCGTATATATTTCTGTCAAAGTTCTTCGTTTCATGTGCTGTGGCCCGGCATGCAGGCACGCACAAGAAGCAATCAGCTTTCACAAGCAGGCTCCTCCGAACATCCTTCTCACCACTTTGATTGGCTCACTTGCCTGCGCTTGTTCTTGTCCCTGATTCCTAGACAATCAACGATGGCCGTGGTGACTCGGTGGCCAAAACTACTGACCAACAAACGTCCTGAAGCTCTTCGACAAGTGGCCATCAAAGAACTGCGATAACACATGCTGCCGATATGCTGATTCTCTCAGATCAGTATCTACCCATTACAGCTGGGAAATGGTACAACAAGAAATGAAATCAAAGCATTGCGATTTCAGAGGCAGGGAAGTTCAGTAGCTGTTCGGTACGGCGAGTGGAGGATATTGTCACACCGCACCAGAGTCAAGAAAACCGAGCTGAAAAAAAGCTGTACCGTTCGGCACGTACTAATTTCTGAAGGGTAAGTAGCTTTGGCAGGGGTACTACTAGCGACCCTGCGCTTTGAAGGAGACTACATGCCCAGTAGTGGGCACTTTCCACGCCTCCGCGCCTCATACAGGGAAGTTATAGAAACAAGACAGTAGTCTTCCCACATTCACCCACGTGTCAACAATTTCCAAATCGAATCCACACTCTGGGTGGCTCGGCTGCCACACTGTTCCGAAATCTGATAGGCTACTGTTTCGCGCCCAAAATTTCGGAACACAGGGCTGCGTCAGCAGGCAGTGCAATGAGTCAGCGGGCAAGTAAAAAAACAAACCCCACATGGAAGGCATGCAATTCTAGAGGCATCAACCCTAAAATTTTAGGGTTGAGGCTCCCGAATGGCATGCAGTCCTATTGGGGTTTATATTTTTTTGCACGCGGTCAGATTGGTTTCGATTTGGCAGAAGGGACAAAAGTCTGTTGCGCACAGTTGGTCAGAATGTCCAGTAGAGTACGTGGCATGCGAATTGGTGACACGTGGGTGAATGTGGTGAAGATTACTGTCTTGTTTCTATAACTTCCCTGTCTGAGGCACGGAGGGGTGGAAAGTGCCCGCTACTGGCACTGTAGTCCCCTTCTAAGCGCAGGGTCGCTAGTAGTACCCCTGCCAAAGCTACTTACCCATTTCTGAAAGCACATCCACGTCCCATGCGGTCTGCTGATTCGCAGCCAGGCTGGGTTCGGTTGGGGCGATGGTGGGTGAAGTTGGTGAAGCAAGCTGCCCACTGGCGAGCCGCGGATCCAATGGCGCCACTAGTGAGTGGGTGACGAGGATGTGACCTGCGCGCATTGGCCTCACTTACATTTGATTCAAGGGAAAATATGCCATTCGTAACCATCATGGGACTCGAAAACATTTTTGGTAAAACAATAAAGGGTACGGTCACTGCAAAGGGTGTTTTCACGCGACTGATAAAGCGTTTCACGGAATCAGTCACAATCAACTGGAAAAAAAAAAACGCGAATGGTCACGGATGAAACTCTTGCCAAAACAAAATGAAACCCAAAAAGAACCTGGATGCATTTTCGGATGGTCAACCCTAAACACGTAACTTGTCAGGTGTTTAGGGTTGATCCGTTCCCAAACCGCATGCAGATTGGTTGGACGCAAGCGGGAATTTTGTTGAGTTTCAAGTTTTTTTGGCGGGAGTTACATGTGTGACCATTCGCGTGATTTTTTACCTGTTGTTACTGACTGAATCCGTGACCCCGCTTACCAAACCCGTCAAAAAACCCGATATAGTGACCGTACGCGTTTTTTTTTAACCATTCACGTTATCGAGTCCGAAGTTGGTTACTTGTGGCATATTTTCCCTTGATTCAACCAGAATTGATCCAAACACTCTACGTACGTATGTAGCTATTGTTCAAAACACCACATCCAGATTTATCTCCACTCCTCTCCCTACCTACCTCTTCCACAGTACTGTCGGCAACACACACACACACACACACACACACACACACACACACACACACACACACACACACACACACACACAAATATATATATATATATATATATATATATATATATGTGTGTGTGTGTGTGTGTGTTTTTTGTTTGAGTTCAGGAACTGAAAAGACGTCTGCGGTGCACTATACTGGTCTGACTGTACAAGTGCTATGTTAGTCACAACTTTAGACATGTCAGACGGCTACAGGTCAACGAAAGTGACTACGGAGGACACAGAGTCGTCCTCCGCACAACTAGACCTAAGGTCAGCTAGTCGTTGGAGATGCTCACGTTGGGACGTTGTTTCAACAGTCTCAGCCTCGTCCCCTGAATCATCCAAGTGAAACACCTCTGGGCCCTCAATAATGCGAATGGAATCTAGACCTGGAAATTCCTGATGAATGATTTGAAGGTCAAGTAGGTCACAGTTAGTGTGTGCCAGCTCCAGCTCTCGAAAATCTGTAGATTTGAAAGGTCTGCTGTCCTGGTAGTCGCTGGATACCCGTAACGAGTCTGGCCGCTTACTAGCTCCAAGGCTAATGTGGCTGAGGCGCGCAGTTTTGAGGCCGCTGCATGTTTTCAAAAGAATAACCCCTGCAGAGCATATGACCATCAAACAGATTTTAGAACGTCGTCATAAAAAAACATTAAAAAAAAAAAAAAAACAAAAAAAAAAAAAAAAAAAACATTCGTGAGGTGCATGACAGAATCGCTTACCATCTAGAGTGATAGCCTCCCCTGTAAGTTCCAAGTGTTGAAGGCAGACCCAACCAGCAACCATAGCAGCAATACATTTATTATCGAGGCCACCGCAGTCTCCTGACGGCGACCATAGACGAAATACTTCTATTTGAGGGCATCTTTGGATAAAATCGAATATCCATCGGGGTATGTCGCTCTTCAGCCCAGACTTCCCTGCGTTATAATAAATCTCGCAGACCTCCAGACACCTGCAGCAAAAATAATATTAAGGTTTAATAGTTCCAGATCAATATCATAAGACAGAAAGCCTTAACTGACGCACCTGCAATGCTTCGTGACCCTAGTCATGAGTTCGGTGTAAAAAGGAGCAGTCCTGTAATCCTTCTTGTAGATGTTGCAACCAGTGGATACTACAAGTTTCTTCATACTGAAGCTTGCCGATTTCAGCACCTCCTCTACCCCATCCATCCAGGCCGAGCTGAAACGAACCGAAAATGAGAATTTTGAAGACGTGAACTTCTTCGAAAGAGTACATTCAATAAGCGTAAACTGGCTGCTCCGACTTTTGCCTCTTGTCTTTGCTTCTCACCAATAGGGCACAGAAAGGCCTCTGGGGTGAATCGGATCACGCGAAACATGAAGCTCGGACAGATTTCCACAATGTTTGGAGATTAAGAGTAACACGGGCCTCGAGTATTCCGGAACTTTGAGCTCTATGCTCTTCCAGAGCTCATGGGATGCCACCGCCTCCTTCCAATCCCTGCCTAATATCGACAATCGGCACAGCTCTACTGGACTCAATCTGCTCTTCGATAGTACTCGGCTGATAAGCTCTGGTCCTAGGTCATCCATCCAACCCATGCCTCCCTAACGTGAAGCTAAACGGGACAACCATCTACACAGCGATTGCGCTATATCGTGCCAAATGACACGCATAGCTGGCGCCACCAAAACCATGACCACCCCGTCCACACGAGTGAGAACTACTGACGAGCCGACAAGATGGCCAGGTCAAGGTGTGCAAGGGCGGAACAGAAAATTATCCTTGCAGAAGTCGGACGAATGGTTGGGAAGGAGGGTGTCTACTACATAAAGTGAAGGTCGTGTGGTTGGTTTGGGTGCCAGGCACGGAAAATGCAGAGGGAACGGAATATACACTGATTTCCAGACCTCGCCTCACCCATTTGCAACTACATTAGCCCCTAGGAGGAGGTCTCATCTGGTCCCTACGCAAACCTCTTCCCTTTTCTACAGATTCCAGTCATTTTTGCCTATCCCAAAACACTGTTCCGTTCATTTTGTCTAAGCTTTGTGACTAGATGAGACACACTCGACTTGTCCTGTGCACATTCAAACCCTACCTCACGTAACATGCCCTCCAGTTAATACCATTGTCAGCCACTCACGCTAATAACCGGTGCCAGGTGTAAGACGACATTCCAGCGGTGGGGTTGGTTTGTGGGGAGGGCTGTTTTTGAGAAATCAAAATTGAACGCCAAGCGTGTAACATTGGCAAACCGTAAAATGGATGGAAAGGGGGCTTTACATCATTCTAAATGGGTTCGAACTTTGTTTATATCCTGGTAATTTTAGGCTTGATTCTTAATTCATACATCAACAAGCATCCACAAAGGGAATTCATAGGCCAAACTAAACCGGTAGGAAACCGATTAGGCCGTCTATCTTGTTACGAAAGAAATTAACTTAACAAACGTATACGTAACAGAGTTGAAGTACTACCAAAAAAGAAGACCAACGGTCAAGATGATCTGAAAAGTCGAAAAACAGCTGAAGCATCAAGACTGTTGCAGGCAGATGCATCAGTGAGCAAAGGGGCGGAAACAAGATTTAAACGGACTCCCGCGCCGCACGGTTGAGTTTTGAAGTGCCGTATTCTCCCGGATATAAACTCTGACCTAAGGTCAATACTTCCGCTGCAAACAAACTATCTGCGATCAACCCTGAGCCGATCTCTGACCAAGTCCTGTTTAGGATTGTAACTGTTGGAAACAATCAGTCCTAAGCGCCTCTGTCGTGTCGAAACACCAAGACACAAGCGAAGCAAAACACTATTGAAGCACAAGCGAATCAACCCTCGGAGGTTGAAGTAACTGTCGGAGGTTACGCGAAAGTCAAAGGTCAGCAACCTTTGACCTGACAAATACAGCGCGACAACAAGGACACACAACTGACTCGTTACAGAGCAGTTGCCCGAGTCGTCACTGTATCGAACCGCAACAGCAACAGTAAAGTAGTTATAACAGTGTCTTTTCATATTCCCTGTATTCATATATAATCTTGTATCTCTTTGCTTTTAATCAACTTACTTTGCCCTCACATACTAGCGCAAGGTGGTTCACAACCCTTTAATTAACGCTTCCGCTACTACACCAACTCTACCCAGAGTTCACCCCTGCAAGGATCCTATGGGCTTTTCAGCCCAACATGGTATGAGAGCAATCAGGGGGAATTCAACTTCTATACCGACAATATCAATCAGCATGGCTACACAAAAGGAAAGGAGCAACTCCAACGGCTCCCAGGGCACTACTCCTACTCCACCTCCTGCCTCTAGCCTACAGACAGAGGAGGGCACGACAACAAGACCCAGAGCAACATCTACCGAGACTCCCACGAATCAACCTGTAGACTTCGACCAGAGCATCATGGAGAAGTTTTTCTCCTTCATGTCCTTCTACGAGCAACACAAGCAATCGGCACCTGCGAAGTCACACAACAGCAACAACAACGGAGCAACACCCATGAGTCTCGACGGCTCATCATATGCACGAGGAAACCAACAACACCAGCCTACCTTTGCTCCGTACGAGCGCGGGTCCATCAGCTTTATGCCGCACCCACAGCCTTCACCTGGACAAGAAAAATCACTCGACGTATTACAAGTTCAGTCGCAGTTCGCACACGTTCTGAAGATGCAGACGTCAAGACCCTTTGATGGAAAGGACTTCTTCACCTGGTCGTTCGAGTTTGAGCTGATGATGGAAGGCGCGCAGATACTCGGGTTCTTCGACGGGTCTCTGCCATACCCAACAAACGGCACACAGTACGAGAAGCAGCAGTACACCTATCAGTCAATGATGGCGTAAACGATCCTACTGAGGAATATCACCCCGACTCAACAGCAGAACATAAGATCTGACCGAGGTTACGGCAACTCCGCGGAGCTCGCGTACAACCACCTGAAGAGCCTGTATCAAGCAACAGACAGCGTAAGCCAAAGTCGGTTAATGGCGCAACTGACAACGGTTGAAATGAAACCAGGGGAGAAAGGAATGGCGTATATCAGTTGATGCCGCGAGTTGCGCGACAAGCTTCTTCGATGCGGAGGGTCGATTTCTGAAGACGCCTTCGTGACAGTCATCATCGGCGGCCTCGGTCCTCAATGGCGCGCCACAAAGGCCATTCTCCGAGCTCACGGAAGAATCTCCGAAGCAGCGCTCTGCGCCGAAATCCACGCCGAGCAGCAAGACATGGGCCTGCAAGAAGAACGACACAAAAAGAAGACATCAGCACCGGAATTCGCGTTCCACACTCAGCGACGCTACAACAACAACAACAATCGGCAGCAACAACCGAAGCCAGTACCTCCGTTTTGCCACATCTGCAAAACTTCAGGACACCCGCGTACGCACTGCCCGAATCGTCAACAGTCAACAACTCCACAGCGGCAACTTCGACCTTCAAGCAGCCAAATCGCCTCAACGCAAGCAAATCCCACGACTCAGATTCAAGCTTCAACGACCTCAACAAGACAACCTGCACAAGGAGCAAGAAACATCGTCAGCTGCATGGCAAAGCTGAGTGACTCCTGCATCACCGAGTCACCACCACACTACTCACCGGAAGAACAACTCGACGAAACCACACCCCGCCGCGAGTCACTTCAGCCGAACCCGACATACGCCACCATCGCCCAAAGCGAACCATCCGGAAAGGACACATGGTTCTTGGACAGTTGCTGCGGACAGCACATGTGCTCCTCGGGACACTTCGTTCAACGAGAACACCAACTTCAACGCGAAGTTGTCATTACAGTCGCCAACAATCAGAACCTGCGAACACGACGACAAGGCGTAGTTCAACTTCAGTCAAGGGAAACAAACGTTATACTGCAGATGTCAAAAGTACTAATCGCGGAGAGACTCGGCTACAACTTACTGAGCGTCAGTCAGCTAATGGCGAAAGGGATTCACCTCGAAGCAGACAGCACCACCCAAGAATTCAAGCTGTATCACGGGAGAGGAGGACTCTACATCGGCAAGGCGGTCCTAAAGAACAACGTCTTCGTTCTTGACTTCGTTCCTGATCTGGGCACCGCCGAGAGCGAAGCCATCGTTAACTTCACCAACTGGACACACCCTCTAGACCTTGATCCAGACTTCAGTCCAGAAAGCTTCTGGTATTCACACACCATCCCCGAAGTAGAAAGAATAAGGGCGTTAGCAACAATTCAGACAACATCAACAGCAGCAGAGACAACATCAGCAGCAGCAGAGACAACATCGGCAGCAGCAGAGACAACATCAGCAGTTGCAGAGACAACATCGGCAGCAGCAGAGACAACATCGGCAGCAGCAGAGACAACATCGGCAGCAGCAGAGACAACATCAGCAGTAGCAGAACCATCAACGGCAGCAGCAAAAACGTCAACACCAATTGCTGGTCCTTCAACGACACCGCTCCTCATCGATAACACACCACCGACACCCGCGCAACAACTACACCCAGCACCACGAGAAGTTCATCGTAGCGCCAAATTCACTGCCAACTTCTACTCCAACTCCGATATGTCCCGATGATCACCCGGACATCGCGCCGACGAAAGCACCTGGCACGCAAGGATGGGACACCCAAGCAACACAGTATTAAACAATACGATAAGAGCAGGAGTACTCGACAAGGACTCACTCCTACTGACCGACGGACGAGAACTTCAACGAGTACGCGGAACGTGCCTCACCTGCCCTGAAGGTGACTTACGACATCGACCGTTTGCGTCTCATCACAACCCGAGCGCTCCCGCGTACGCACCACTCGAGAAGGTGTATAGCGACATCCTGTTCAATCGGGAACCAGGATAAGTAATATACAACTATACAATCACCTTCATCGACGCCGCCACCCGTTACGTCTGGCACCTAAACCTCCCCAGCCGCGACATGGCATTCGAAGCCTTCGTTGCCTGGCTACCAGTAGCAGAGAGAGAATCAGGCGTGAAACTGAAAAGCTTCCAGTCAGACGGAGGAGGAGAATACACCTCTCAGCGATTCAAGCAGTACTTGGCGGAAAGGGGAATCAAGCGGCTCATCTCCCTTCCCTACGCCCATCAGAAGCAAGGTGTAGCAGAAAGAATGAACAGGACCTTGCAGAACAGCATGCGCAAACTGTTACGTGGCATGCGGCTACCCAACCACCAGTGGCCTGCGGCAATGGACCACGCCGTCATGCTGCACAACT